TTGGCATGAAGCCATGCTTGCGGCTGGTCAAAAAGAGACTTCCATGAAACTTTGAACCCCTGCTCTGATCTGGGTGATTTTTAGACATGTTGTTCATCCAGATCAGCGCTATCAGGGGATGTGACTTTTATGGGGATATTTATTATTTTTGGGTACTTGGTAAAATATATGTTTTTTGTGCTTGGGGATAATTATGTTAATACATTATCTACCTTAATTGTATCACAGGCAGAGGGGAGGGATTGTGTGCTGTATGTGGGAGTGTCAGGCATTGTTACATTTATTCTATTGGTCTGTATAATTTGTGTCCTGTGCCCCATCAGGTCCAGTGGGTATTCCTCTGGCCTGAAAAGTTGATAAAAATCCAACCTGTACCATTAAACTCTCAGATCATCTTGCACCTTCATGAAGTGTTGGCTCATGTTTGGAGGATTGGAGAACTACACTCTGGGGATTGCTATAATCACTATACTCCGAGTATAATCACTAAACTCTTGTAAGAGTTGTTCCTGCTACGCTCTCTGGACTAAGAGAGGTCTACCCACTGGAAGCTGGATCCTGGTTTTGGGTCCAGGGTGGGTGGAGGATGGCGAGACCCCAACCAAGCTGTGGCGGTTCGTGGGGTTTAAGGTGGTTATAGTGTTCCAGTGCAGTGCTTATGCTACTTGCAAGTACTAGGAAGCAGCGATTGACAGAGGTACCAGGTCGGGGTGCAAGGCTGTCCGTCACATTACTTATATCCTGATTAATGTATATTAGAATTACAATAAAAAATGTATTTTAAAAAAATATCTTGCATTGGCCGGGAATCGAACCCGGGCCTCCCGCGTGGCAGGCGAGAATTCTACCACTGAACCACCAATGCTACAGATGTTGAGAATTTTGCAGAACCACTGGAATTTTTTAATGTAGTCACATCTGGTTTTCCATCATAACTTTCACTGCTCTGAAAATAGTAACTGTGCAAGTTAGAGACTGTGGGTACTACACACTCACCTCCTGAGAAAGATGCACCGTGCTCCAGTATTACAAAGTTTTCTTCCTGCTTCCCAATAGATTGTGGGTTTATCGACATGGGGAAGTAATAAAGTATTTGTGATTAAGTGAGATTGGAAGCTGAGTGTTTCAACGTTGTATTGTCCTTTTCAAAGCTTTCAGGAATATGTGAATATAGCAAATTTGGATCATTTCAATGTTTGCCTAAATTCGGGTATTCATTTTTCAGCTCTCTGCTATTCGGAATTTAGTAAATAACTCCATTTTATAATTCCACACAATTCTTACTTAGTACACAACCCGAGGAGATATTTTATCTCCTGAAAACAATGGAGTTTCTTTACTGGACTCTATACTAATATTGTACATGGGTGAGTGGAAAGTGAAGACCCCCAGACATGTCCACCCATTAGGTATAGTGTGTCCTCTTTGCCCCCATACATGAACATATTTACCCCCCTATTCCACATTCGAGTGAATTAGCCTTCAGGCTCACGGTTAGAGTGAATGAATGAGGGAATAACAGGGGCCGTATGGGTGGGTGAATGACATTTTCTGCTTTTTTTATTTTAGTTTTTTTAGAAGATATTGATATATATATATATATATATATAGAGAGAGAGAGAGAGAGAGAGAGAGAGAGAGAGATCCCTCTCTACATACCTCAAAACAGAATGCACCTGTCATGGCTGATTATATATTTCCTACCTGTTCTATGTTACATTTTGTATTTATTGTGTATTAATATTGTTTTTGTATTTTATTTTATTGTACCCTACTGTAGCAATGCAATGTTTTGTCAACCCAGGACATACTTGAAAACGAGAGAAATCTCAATGTATCTTTCTTGGTAAAATATTTTATAAATAAATAATATGCTCACATTGAATAAGCAATCTATATTTCCCACATGCAAACTAAATCAAACGCTAGCTCACACACTACTAGCTACTCAAAAACATAATTATTTACACTCATAACTACACCGATGCACATAATAAGCAAAACACTGATGTTACTTATTTCCCGATGTATGTGTATTAGAATAAAAATCTATTTAAAAAATAAAAATGTATCTTGCATTGGCCGGGAATCGAACCCGGGCCTCCCGCGTGGCAGGCGAGAATTCTACCACTGAACCACCAATGCTACAGATGTTAGGATTTTGACAGAACCACTGGAATTTTTTAACGCAGTCAGTGTGCACATCTGGCTTTCCATCATAACTTTCACTTCTCTGAAAATAGTAACTGTGTAAGACACTGATTGCGCCAAGATCAATGGACCTTGGCACCATTCACCAAGCTGACCTGCTCTGTATTTGGTAAATAATACCCTATTGCAAATTCCAGGGTTAATTTGTAGTTTAGTAAATAACTCTGCCTGAGTCATTTATTGAATACGTATGAACTTTGTAACCTTCCAAACTGTGAGCAAAACCTTATAAACTAGTAAATTGTTCAGCAATATTGAAAGCAGAGGTCAGATTCTCATTTACAATAAATTAGTGAAATATTAACAATTTGCGATGTATTGGTAACAGAACTACAGCACCCACCACTCTCAGCCAGATTCTGGGTACCTGCTGCCATAACGTTTTCTAGTTTGATAATAAGTTGGTGTAGTTAAGCCCACTGCCAGCTCTCAGTGACTTCACAGTTTCTTGTTAAATAGCTTCATCTCAAGCTGTCCGGAGCCTCCTGGCACTATCGTAGTATGGAAGACGATAATGTATTACAATATTGGATGCATTCTGGAATTCAGAGTCTCTTTAAAAATGACACATTTTACAGCCATTATAAAGTAATAGTTATTTGCTAGCGTTAGAATGGAATTGAATTGAATTGCCCATTTAGGTCACAATCCCAGAATAGGACAAAGTCAGCTCTGCTTTCTGTTTGGCTTTTGGCCTAAAACATTACTTCACTCTGAAACCCCAGTAAGACAGACTTTACCAAATAATCCTTAAATAGCAATATAGCTTCATTAAGAAGGCAACAGCGGTATTTGAGAACCAGGCCCCCAGCTGTACACAGTGCTGGAACCATGTAAAGGACAGCAGTGTGCTCAGTACAGAATGTTTAGGAGTAATTAGGGTGACCTCTATTGCTCTCCCTGTGGCTGAGAATCTTGGGAGTTACAGTCTAGAGTAACATGAAGAGTGGTAGCTCCTTATCCTAAGACAGCAACGCTGCAGACTCTTCTAAACGTACCTTAGTAAATGGTACTGTGTGTTTAGGAACGCTGTGATATTATTGTATCCCCTCGTTAAAAACTCCCCGTTTTCACACCGATGTAGTAAACGTAGACATTACTGTGTGCGTTTCGTTTTCTTTCCTAGTAACAGACATGTCTCTTTACAACAGGTTTCACTACCAGCAATCTAATCAGTAGATATATTGTCGCACAATGCTGGCTGATTCATTGGCCTCTAAAAAAATCAAAATCCAGGCGACACTTATGCCTTCTGACAGGATGACAAGTGATGTAAAAGCTCACTGTCTTGCAGACAAGTTTGGAAAAAGCCCAGCGCCAACAGAAATAATGGCTCATTTATTCAGCCTAAACTGCTAGCTCAGCCGCAGCAGAAACTCTGCCTTTCAATGCAATAAAAACAGCACTGAGGCAGGCCGTCAATAACAGTGCGTCACCATCACACGTATAACGCTATACAGAGAAATTAGACGGCAAGACATAGCTAGAGGGACCTGCGCGGTCCTATATAGGTCAATAGCAGTCAATGCTGTACTGCACCGATTTAGAACTTCATTTAACAACGTTCACCAGGATCTTTCACTAAACTCCAAATATTAGAAAGATGATTTGCAAAATATAGGCCAAAGCAGCAGAGCTGTGACCAGGGCTGAGTTGGGAGATTTTCCAGTGCAGCTATTTTTACATAGGAGATTTAGAAACAGAATAAATGGAATCTATATAACCAACACACACAAAGGAAAACGGAAAACGTCTTTTGACATGTAGTACATAGTTATAAAGGCAACTTTACATCTCCCCTATGCTTTGCCAGCATTATGGCCTGTTAGAGCTTTATGGGGGATGGAGTGCCAAAGGTTGCCTACCCCTGGCAAATACCATAAAAATATAAATGACATTGGGATTTTTGGTACTGGTTAATTGTCCTCCCTCCAGTGTATCCTGCGGTGTTCCTTGTGTTTTCTAATGACCGCAGTCATTCTGTCAAACTGTTTGGGTCACTGGCGGCTGGAGGTTGAATAAAACTACAGTAGTGGGACAAGCAAGGAACACTCCACTGCCCAAATATTTTTTAAATCACTGTTTAGTAGATCTACCCTCAATGAAAACATCCATGAATTTAATTATTAATTATGTATTTTTTAATTGCTGGTAGATCTAAAAACAACTTGGAAAAAAAAATCTGATTTCTTGTCTGTATCCTTTGCAAGCCCTCCCCTTCTAACCCCGCCCAGACTTTCTGTGGCTGACCAATCACAGACTTCCCAATACAGCTCAATGAGAAGTCTTTGCAAGGTAAATGCTCTGAACAATTGCTGCCTCTTGAGTTTAAGGGGACACACTCTTTAAACAAAGCACTATAGGGGTCTGGAGTGTCCCTTTAAGTAAAAGAAATACCAGGGGTATTTATATACACAAAGGGGTAGGCAATCTTCGGCACTCCAAATGTTGTGGACTACATCTCCCATGAGGCTCTTACAGCAATAATACTGGTAAAGCATCATGGGAGATGTAGTCCACAATATCTGTAGTACCGAAGGTTGCCTACTCCTGCAGTTGCACCTCTCAATTCTCTGCTATTCGGTAGTTAAATCAATTTGGTTTGTGCTTATGCAGCTCTCACAACACCTTTCCTGATTGTGACTCATACAGCCAACAGGAAAAAAAAAAAAAGGTTTAATTTTCAATTAGATCTTACAGAAGTGTATTTACTTTAGAAGTTATCTCCTACTCTGTTAATTGAACCTTAATCACACAAAGGTGGGTCACGTAGGCTCTAACAGGCTATTGCCTACAGCCATACCAGTTTGAAAGTGCCTGATCTCGTCAGATCTCAGAAGCCAACCTAGACTCCGGCCTGATTAGCACTTGTACGGGAGACAAACTAGGAACCTCAGGTGCCGTAAGCTTTCTATTCACAAATAGGACTTTACATAGGACACAAGGTCATGCGTTTAGACTGGAAGAAAGAAGATTTTGTCTAAGGCAAAGAAAAGGTTTTTTTTTTTACTACTTTGTAGGGGAGGGCTACATAATTAACTCCTAAATGGCAAGTAATTGAGCAGTGAGACTGCATGATCTATACACCAAAACCATTTCTTTAATCTAAACTTGTTTTAGTGCTTATAGTGTCTTTAAAAAGCTTGCAGCTCACAGTGCTGGTTGTAATAGAGACAGTAAGGGTCTCAAATAATTCTGCGGCAATCAGGGTTCGAGTCGAGTCCTGTAGGTACGCGTGGGAAGGACGTTCCTGCACTTTTTACACAGCAGGAATCGAGCCCCCCTTCCTTGAGCCAGCTGTAACAAACTCCCTGCTGGTCTAGTGTGCTGCCGCTCTCCCTCGCAGTTCCTGCGCACTGTGTCAGAGCACAGGCGCTGGGTTCCCCTCCTGCGCTCTGACATCATCACAGTGCGCCTGAACCGCGAGGGAGTGCAGCAGCAGTGATGTGAGAGTAACCTCTGAATTAGCGATGTCTAAATGCTGCATGCTTCAGAAATACTCAAAATCAGCCTACAACCAGTAAGGCCTTGGAACCGATGAAGCACAAACTTCAAGGTAAGTCATAAACAAAGTCCCCCGGCAGCATGAACTACTGTGAAGTCTGCTCAAAAGATGCGGAGAGTGCATTGGCTGCTGAAATTGCTGGCTTGACGCAGAGTTACACTACCAGATCGTGAAGGAATCCTGTGTAATGCAGAGCCCCCTCTCGAGTACAATCCACCATTGGATGAGGAACACATTGCTATGGAAGTTGAGGTAAGTGAGCAGTCAATAATTTGAGTGTATAGGGGTGCAGTCCTCAGGTTAGCCTCACCCATAAATATTTTTTCCAGCCCCACAACATGCCCGAGGCCTTGAGCTTAGTATGCAATTGCCCATTTTGGGAATGTATTTCCTTTTAATTAAATATCACACATCTTATTTTAGCAATATTACACTATTGGATTTCTGTCATTGCATATCCTTCACTGAATAATCACTGGAAATATACATACAACACCTATATCCATTGATGGGGATTATAACACTACACGGTGACTGTGACTTGAGCTTGTTTGAAGCTCCATACCATGTAAATGGGCAACTTTACAGATAATTGTGGTCAGGGCTCGAGTCCTGCAGGAACGCATGGGAACAGTGTTCCTGTCCTTATTCCACAGCAGGAACGCCATTCCCGTTAGTAGTCCTGCAGGCTCTGATCAAGCCCCCTTCCTTGAGCAAGCAGGGAGATCAAAATATCTCCCTGTCAGCTGTAACAAACTCCCTGGTGGTCCAGTGTGCTGCTGGAGCTGCCGCACTCCCTCGCAGTTCCGGCGCACTGTGAGTGTCAGAGCACAGGCGCCAGGTTCTCAGCCTGCGCTCTGACATCACAGTGCGCTGGAACTGCGAAGGAGTGCGGCAGCCCCAGCAGCACACTGGACCACCATGAAATTTTAAGTCTGTGTATTTTCCCCTCACTGTCTCTCTAACTCCCTAACTATGTCTAACTAGCCCTCCTAACACGGTCTCACTAATCCTACCATACTATCCCCCTAACCCCCTCACTAAACCCCGCCATACTAACCTACCTAACCCTGTCTCAATAACCCCCTAATCCTGTATTTTTATCCCTCTGTCTCTCTACCCTCCCTAACCTTGGCACACTAACCTAGTATATATGCATAAGAGCATATAGTTGTTTTTGTTGTGGGGGGGAGAGGTGGGGCGCGATTTGGGTGAGTTCCCACACTTATTTCGCCAGGACTTAACCCCTGGCGTCAATTGATTATGTTGTGTTTGCATAGTTTAACGACCATCCTGTGAAATGCTCACCTATCTCTGCAAATGAGTTTAAACTTGTGACCACTCGACCTCTTTATTGAGATTTATTGTTTATTCACATGTTATGGAGGCGGTCAGAAGTTCTTGGGGGAGTCCTATAAACACATTATAGCTAAACGTACAAATAAAGAGTGCTATTCGCTAAAGTGTGAATGGTCAGGAATTAGAAAACAAAAACCATTGCAACTTTCTAATTTAGTCTGCTAAACTTCGTGTTCAGCAAATAAAAACATACAACTTACACTATTTTGCACAACTTTATATAGCTGTAATCTCTAGATCTTAATTTTTCATTGATTTCCCTCTAAAATTGCACAGTTAAACAATCTCAAAAGTTTAACAATCTTTAAAGTTTGTGATGGGGGGAGGGGGGTTATTTCTCAATCGGTCCACCCTTCTTGACATCCCTCAACCCCCCTCTCCCAATCTGCAGTGTTTCCCTCATTAATACTGCTCTATATAATATCAAAAGTAAATGTTTCTAGAATATATAACTCCCAGAATAACTACTTATGGGATAAAGGCAGAAGAGCTCTGGAAAGTTATTGAGCACGGGTCCCCTGGTTTGGTATAAGATCACTGCTGAAATTGCAAAATCTAGGAACGTCAAGGCTGAGTGACATTTATTCTTTATTTTTATATGGTTAATTCACTAATGCAGTCGGTGTATCCAGCTTATCTGCTCTTAGACGGAAATTGTAGCCCATGTCTCTGGAATAATTAGTTTATCACTTGCAGATAATCTTCCCAAAGTGAAGAGACAGCACAAAACTCACATTGCTGCTCAAAAATAGATCTACCTCTAGATTGATTTAGATTGTCCAAACAAGGCAAACCGTGTGTCTGTGTTGTAAAGTCGCAAAACATTTTGTGCAAAAACAAAGTTGCGTGGCCTTGAGAATTTAAGATTTACGATGGGCAGTAAGGAATGACTTTATTCTTGTTTTGTTGGCCCTTAATAATGAATGTGGGGGTGCACTAGGCAATAAGGTTCTCAGACTGGGCAGATTGGGTTCGGATTTTTTCCTACTAGGTAAGGCTTTGGTGACGACCCTGGATGGATGGAACCCCAACATTCTATTGCATTTAGTCCTCTTCCTGCTGAAAAAAAGAATCTCAAAAATGATCAATGGCACTCCCAAGATTATCAGTGTCTTAGCTGGAGGGTCATGGCCATCTACTGTTCAATGCGTGAAGATGGACAGTCTCCATCATGGTTGTTGGAAAGTGTGAAAATTAGGCAGAGTGAAGCTAACGTGTTGCCAGATTTTACCACAAAAATTAGCTAACACAAGTTTCATTAGTTTACTATGTCTTATGAGATATTTTGGTTGCCTTGAAACTTCATAAATACACTACCTATGGCTATAGAAAAATGCAGTATATCATTCACAGGGAAGGCTATAGCAAAAAGACAGTCATAAGTTTACTATGTAGAATTGTGAAAACAGTTCCATTTTCCATTTTGATTAAGCTACCACTCCACACAAATAAAGCAGTTGCCTGCTGACGTGTTTAAGTGCTTTATGTGTGTTTAGTGTGTTCTCTTATTTAATTTTACAACAATAAATAAAATAAAAAAAGAATACTTGTTTCAATAGAAATTGATACTCATAAATGAACCTAGTTACACCCCCCTGGCTGTCAGACAACTGCTGTTACTTCCCGGTTTGTTTAGCTCAGTGAAGCTAAATTCAAAAGGCAGCACCTGCATTGCAAAGACTTCTCATTGAGCTACATTGGGAAGGCTGTGATTGGACAGCGACAAAGTCTGGGCAGGGCTAGAAGGGGAGGGCTTGTAAAGGCTGCAGACAAGAGAACTGCAGCTTTTGCAAACTTAATATACCCAATTAAATGTTTTTAATTTCAGAGTTAAAAGGAGAGTGCCATTGCACCCAGACGACTTCTTAAAATAAAGTGGTCTGCGTGACTATAGTCTTGCTTTAATCCCATTCACTCAATTTTCCATAATCCTCAATCTAACATGCACCTCCCAGTTAAAAAAACAGAGGTATTAAAATCAACCGGAGTAGTTTACACACTAACAAATACAGGCAGGACGACCAATTCAAATTATTAGGTTTTTATTTAGAGATTCTGTTCAGTTTAAATTAAAGCCAATAAAAATCAGTTTCGAAAAACTCACTTCTCCTTTTGCCTTTACGTCTTTTTTTCAGAGTGGTAGAAACCCATCAGTTTCCTACTCAGTAGTATTGTGAAATAAGGCAACAAACATGTATGAGAAGAATGACATGCTGAACCTCTCATTCAATGGCCATAGAGACCAATGCATTTCACTGACAGCCCCAGAGTCACTGAAGCAGTCACCCAGCGCATTCCACATGACAATAAAAAGAAATCCAAATGCGTCATGTGCAGAAACACTTTTGTTTGTGTAATACAAAGCCTTGACCTCCCAGTGTTTCCCGTTACACTAAGTTAAAGACCTTTGTTAGACAAAAAATAATACGTGTTGTTACAGCTCCGAAAGAAGCCAGATTTTTATTCTTTGGCAGTACTGGATCCTGTAGGCCAAGAAAAGCATGAGAAAGATGCACATGTAGATTTCTTAAGGAGCAGCCTCGTCGGCAGTAGCCTAGCTGATACTGAGCTGTGCAAATCCTACAAGCTTTCCATCATCTGGAATATCAGAAGGATCCACACCAGACGCCTAGAGATGTAAAAGAACAGGAAGTTAAACAGTGTCAAAAGGGAGCCGTCTGTAGGTATGTCTAGTAAACACCATAACCACTTTCTAGATAAGATGTGCCATGATAATGTTACAAGCAGGCATGTGTTTAACTTTTCTTTTGCAACCGTACAAGTTATGTTTATACTACACTAGTCTTCCCATATAGACCTCCCTTTGGCCATGGATATTGAAATCATTTGTGTGAATGAGTATTCACAAGCAGAAGTATTTAGGTGTGTGTATGTGAGTGACTGAGTGTGAATTTGTTGGTAACATAAGCTTACATTTGTAATGTGTGGGTATTTGTAAATTAGCCGGTATAAGCTTGTACGTGTAATGTTTGCTTGTGTGAGTGTTCAAGAGTGCCAGTATGTTATATCTAAATATGCAATGACACACGCGTTAAACATACACCGTGTTAAATGGCAGAAATCACAGACGCACATTATAGCGGACACAGTGAATGGTCACACTCATCCTTCATATGACAATCACACCGCTGTAAGAATGCTCCATGTGACACAGAGGAGGAATTGTAATTGATGTACGTGCATATTCCACAAGTCCCTAAAGCGGCTATCAGTTTATTCAGCTGATACAGTCCTCCAATGTGATGACTAGAATGGAGTTTGAGGTGTGAACTACAAATCCCATAAATCCCTTAACGCCACCTGAATAAGAAAAATAAAACCATGCAATTACCTGACTGGTGGGACCTCTTCTCTTCTGGAGTTGGATAAGCATATATATATATTTTTTAATATATTATCCATATCAATGCATTAAAACACTTGGTAATTTCTAGGCTATTTGGACCCTTAAGAGGGTTAACTTAGAAATACACATATTGACAAATACAGAAACACATACCAGTTTGAAGGTGACTGATCGGTTTGTCTGAGGCTCTTCCACAATCTTCTGCAAATTGGCTGCAACTAAGAGCACAGACAGGCGTTATTCTGGTCTCATGCCAATATGGCTGTAAGATATGGCACCCAGTACTGAGGCTCTAAAAGATCACAATGGATACTCTGAGGGATTTTAATTCAAGCAGAATCCAGCCAAGGATTGTGCGAAATTACATGAATTAGCCATGACTTGAGACATGTTACATTATACCCTGATTGAATACAAAAATATTAATCTGTGGGGCAAATCATAAGAAAAATACAAGCTTTCAAAATTTCTGCCAAAAATTCATTTTAATTAGACCAAGAACATTGTGTAGTATAGAATCGATCACTTCGGAAAAAGAAAGCTCCAGAGTTCATTTGACAACATTTTTGACATAATTTTTGCCGTTGCCTATAACTCAGAATTCTTAGACATAATCCAGAGGATATAAACGCTGCACTCTCTCGGTTTATTTGAAACACAGTGACTGCTAAACACTCCCTGGGTTCTATGTTTTACCACTGGCTTTGTTTAGAACCCTTGGTTAGAGACATTGGAGAGTCTGTGGAAGAAGTCAAGTAGGAGGACAACTGCAAAAAAAAAAAGCAATGTCCTCCCACACCCCTTCAAAAAAAACACAACTAGGTTAAAGGACAACTGTCAAGAAATGTTAACATATTTTTAAAATAAAAGTTTATTACATTTAATGAAACGTAATGATTTTCTTATTTATGATGTAAATTGATGTATGTTTGGCTCAGCCCAAAGGTCCGCCTCCTCGACTGAGATCATCAGAATTGATGTTCCCAGCCAACCCAGTGATTCCCCATGGGAAAGCATTGGGTTGGTATAGATTGTCAATTCTGATGATCTCAGCCAAGGAGGCGGGGCCAGCGCCTGGAATAAAGGAAAGCTTCTGTAATCAAAATGGATCATACTTCCGTGAGGTGGAATAGCTTTCTGGGACAACTTGCTCTGTGTGACACACACATATTTATATATAAAGAATTACCTATGACTACATCTCTTCCATCTACAAGGCCAGCCGAGACGAGCTCTTGCGATACTCCGTCCGCAGTATCTGGAAGAGAGAAATTAGTAGACGTGAGCAGGGTCAGGAACAGGACCACCATATCTAGTTACAGTGTTTCCCACTAATGAATGAGTGAAACCCCGATCTTTCTACAGCCTGTCCTGTTCCCAAGTCTAGGTACATGGCTTGATTGTAAGCCTTCACTACAGCTAGGCAGCCAGGAAATCAGTTATTTAGAGGCAATGAGTGCATTCCAAAGGGCACAGCACAAGAGACGGTGTTATTTAAAGGTGAATATTGCAATGATGTACATTTATACGCGGATAGGAAGAGAACGGGAATATGGCAGTGTAGAAAAATAAGATGACAATCGGAAGGAAAGAGAACATGCAAAGCGGAATAGCACAGGTGGACTGGTTGGGGACTGCAGCGTTAGAAGGGATGTTTTTGAGAAAAGATGATTTTGTCTACTGCCACCTAGTGGTTTGACAATAGTTACTGACCAGAGGATACAACTGAAATGTAATCTGTGGTTTATTATTTAAAAGTGGTTTATTTTGCAGGAATACATATGGTGTGGAAAGACGTAACACAATGTGTGTGTAAATCATAGGAAAGTAATAGCGGGACAAAAATCCGACATTTCAGGGGTGGAATGCAACAAAGCATTTATACACGGTTTATAAAGTAGTATATGTTACATACAACCAATCGGAAAATATTGTCCATTGGATGGGATATAACTGTCCAGCTCAGATCATTGTGCAGTGCACTGCCAGAAAGAGCAGAGGTGTATAATATATGATCTATCGATTCTTCTGGAAAAGGAAAATCTGCCAATGTTGGTAAAACGTCGGACAGATAAATTCCATGTGTAATGTGTACGTGCGTGGCTCCTCCCAACTGACGGTGAAGTGTTTTTTCCTTTTTACATATTGCCAATGTACGTTACAGCAGGTTCAGAAAGCACCAAGAAACAGTAGGTGGTTTAAATGAGTTTTATTAAAGCCTATCGTAGTTTTAGCTCGTCATGGCACTGCAGATGGTTGTGAACTACACACACTACACAGAACTCCATCTTCCTGGCCCACTTACTAGATACAGTAACTATGGACCTGGACCCTGTTACCAAGTACTGATCCCATTAAAGCAATGGATTAGCATTTATTCAGAAGACCTGGGGGTGCGGACTCTTGTTGTTTTGCACGTGTAGATCATATTTACTTTTTTCTATGAGAGCTGGTGTTTATTGGGTGCTTTACAGTAAATCATATTTGACCACATACTAAAGGCATTAAGCGACTTCCCGTTTTTCCCCCCCCATTTATAATACTGTGATCTGGGTTGTCCATGAGTCTGAAACATCAAACGTAAACATAATAAAAACGAGTGTTGCTTTGCATGAAACACAAGCACATTCCCAATCACAAATACAAAAATGACAAGCAATCAACAGCTGTATTTGTATTTTTTGTTTTTTTTTAATAAACTACTTCCTAGTGGTATAATTTGAAAGAGTGAGCATGCACGGCATGAAATACAAAGTATATGTGCAAAGAACTGTTACATAGAAACACACACAAAAACAAAAAAAAACAAAAACACACTCTTGTATATATTCTCTTTCTACAAACCCAACAGAAAATGCTGGTAGCATAATCTGAAAATGTCTGATAAAAGTGTGCTTTGTGTAACAGACAATGTAATGTTAATGATTTACTTTTGAATGGTAGCAAAACATCATGGTATATACCCCCCAAAAAACTAAACATAGTGTATACTGTTTAACAAGTGAATATAGTGAAAAAATAATAATTGTGTACACTCACTTGCCAGAGCCAATTTAATCTGGCTTTGAATACAGCAGCAGTTGGTGTCTTTGAGGTTCCATCACACCTCACTATGGAAGAGACTCCGCTTTTGGTGGGGATCCTCAAACAGATAAAAGATGCCAAGAGTGCAGATGGTAATAAAACAGTAAACCCAGTAGAAGTATAAGGATAAACTCCATGTCGTGGAGTCACAAGGGGCTTGTGATACAAGGGGTATACACAATGTCCCTAGAAGTCAACAGCTTATACTGTTAAACAGTATACACTATGTTGTTGTTGTTTTTTTGAGTATACCATGATTTGTTGCTGACCTTAAACGTAAATATGTAACACTGCAGTGTCTATTACACAAACCAAACTTTTATCACACATGCAGGAATGATGTCTAAATTTATATTCACCTCTTCCAGGAGTAAATTCAAATCGAATATCATTCAGTTCTTTTTTTGCATTTCTGAAAAAAATTTAAAAAAATAAATAAAAAAAGATATTAAATACCACAATTAAATATAATATTTTTAATTATGGAACAAGTTTAACTCTGGAACTTTGGAAATATCTCTTCTTTTGAGAAACCGTTTGACTGAATAAAAATAACATTGTAATTCTTTAATTTATACAATTTTATAATACAGGAAACCGTTGAATAGAAAATAGTCTAGTCTTGGCCAAAAACCACACACACTAGATTATTATAGGAGTGGGGGGAGGGGACACAAAAAAACAACAACCTTAAAAATCCAAGTGTGAGCCATAAGAATTCTACATCTGAAAAATGCTAAATCGAAATGAATACAATATATCTAATGCAGTTTAGAGACTGTGGGTGGGAATATGCAAATACAAACGCTCAAAGCATATATAGTCTGTTCAATACTTATTTGCATGACTCCTCCCAGACTCTCTATGCCACAGGGGAAGCAAGCATTTATCCACACTGTATATTACCTTAATCGTAACACTAAGCTGATAACTGCTTTTACTTCTTCTTGAGGAGGAGGCACCGCAGCTGGTGTTGGCTGAGTCTAAGGAGGAAAAAAATGCAACACATTAACAAGAGATGAAGGGACTAGGGATGAGGAAACAAAGGGGTTGTGCTCACATCACTCACCCATCTAGGTGTACGTTTAACCTGTAGGTTGGAGGAAGCTGAAGAGTAGCTCTGCCCAATCCCTGCCTGGCTTCACCCCAAAAATCATCAGAATATTCACTAAACTCGGAATTTTCACAAAATTTCACTCAAATGGAAGAACGGAGGCAAAAAAAGCAAATATGAAAAATGTTCTCAGCTCAGAAACAATGTATTTTTGCCTCAGTGTTTCCGTTAGGAGTACAGTTAATACCCTGCTCTCTCTAGGTGTCATTGTCCATCTCCAATAAACCTATCAATGCTTCATCCAAATGTCCCCTGCAGTCACAGGATATTTATACATACAGTACATACCTACCTGTCTTCGGTAAAGACACATACTTTAATTTAACAGAAAGTTGAGCCTCTGATGTATTTGAACAATGCCCTTTGTTGCTGTGCTTTTATTTATGTGGGTTGATGTAGGATTTTGACAATGAAACCGTAACATGCACGTATAATCCTTTCAATAATCCTCTGCCTATAATTTCAGTAGTCACTGTCAACACCACTCTCCTGACATAGGCTATAAATCAAATGGAATCTTCTGTTTCATTGCGAGTTCTTTTGAAACACACTCTTTTTAAGACTAACAAACGTTTTATACCATTCTCCTTGATCTCTCACCTGGCTAGACCCTGGAACTGGTACAGACACTTGTGACGGTGGAGCTTGTCCAGCAGATTGAGGTAGATTAGCAGCGGGCTGGGCCGAAACCTGGAGAAAGGTTCCTGTGGGCTCTGTCCCAGTGAACAGCTAGAAACAGAAAATCAGAATAATAGTAAAAAAAAAAAAAAATAGCCTTAAATGAATGGGCTACACAGCTCCCAGTCTGTAACTTGCCAACCAGCCATGCCACGATCCTTCGACAAATCAGCAGAAATTTTATAAATTGCCCAACATATGAAGCAATAGAACCAGCCGGAGCATTGTGTTTAAAGAAAATGCTTATTCAGAAAAAAAAGGGGTGTTTTACCCATAAGAATGTTCAGAGTTTTTCTATACAACCTGTGATGAATACCCTTATTAAATATAAACATTTTTTAGAACAGTTTAAGTAGAGAGATATTTCTATTCTCTATTTTGCGACAAGACCCCATCATTTCCCTGCTACGTGCACGGACCGTGTTACACACACACAAAGCCAATAACTGGGAAATGAAGGGCAAGAGAAGCTGAAGGAAAGAGAGCATGCTGGGAGATGGAGTCCAGAAGCAGGAGACAATAAGTAGACTGCATTACCACGTAGCTTTGTGTGAAAGTAACTCACCTCTGAGTTTTGTGAGGAGTCTTTCACACGAGGAGACTGGAAACATATGAGAGAGAGAAAACAAAAAACAAAAAGAGAATGCATTATAGCTTATTTGTCAGTATTAAGAGTCACTGCCGGTGCATTATATCCAAGGATTGCCACCTAGCAGTCCTCATTCAAGACCCACCACCCACCATCCCTGGGGGCGTTGGAGAAAATCACCTAAAATTCATATTTATTAATAAATAAATAGAAAAAAGGAGAAGTAGTAGAAGAGCATGCACGCGTGTCTCCTAACACACTGATAGAGGTGTGTGCTTGGTTTCATGGAATAAAGGCGAGCAGACACTCACCCTCAGCTGCAAAACTGCAGCTTTCCCCTCCTCACTCTCTTCATCCAGCTCATCGTCGCTCCACTCCCAGCCGCCATCTTCTGTTTTATGCAGACGACCACTGGAGCCTGGTACTCTTCTAACCTAAGAGACGTCAAGTAAATAAATCAAAAGGATGTCCTTAGCGCTCAAAACATTCAGAATGCTCAGACAACAGTGTGGCCTCTCACAGCAATTAGGAACTCATAGAATCGCTTCTAAAACAGAACTACAAATGAGAAGGGACATTTCACACTGCTTGTATCTCCAAAGGCAGGATTTGAAGATTACACAATTCTTTTAAAATGTGGCTCTCAATAAAAATATGGATTTTCCCTAATGACTGGAAAGAGTACGAATTTCATAAAAGTTTCTTGTTCCAAAGATTGGAGAAAATGCACCTTAAAACGAAAGTGTTCTATTTTATGAACATTACCAATACTCTTAAATAAATTAATAGCTCCGTTTAAATGGACAAAGCAAGAATGACCATGTTTCACAATAAGAAACTTCCAGTACCATCCCCTCTCCCCCCACTGCCATGGGAAAACATTCACAGCAAAGTTCAGGTAAGTACTAGAACCTCACATCCGTTCACTATGAAATATGTGTATTGTTGGGTAGAATTCCAGAAAACAAGTTACCTTTTTGGCTCGCTCTGTAATTGTTGGAGCTCGCTGCAATAATCTTTCTTGTAAAAATTCTTTATTCTGAAATAAAATAAAAGTGAAAAAAATAAAAATAAAAAAAGGGGGTTGAGTCTGTGTTCAAGCGTTAATCAGTGCAAATACGTTTTACAAAACACACCAAAAACAAGCCTTACAAGTATGACTGGAGCAAAGTATTAGTCTTAACGGAATACTCCAAACATACAACACTTCAGCTTACATTGAGCCTTGTTACACCTCCCAGTTATCAGAATGGCAACACTGGACGCCAGCAAGACCCTTTTCGACTATGCCGTCTAAATACCAATACGCAGCTACTGGTGACTGGCAGCCGACATATGAAGAAAGTTTTCTGGGGAAACGTCAGTTGTGCCTCTAAGTGTCTTGTCAGTGTCTATGCCAAGTGCTAAACACCATAATAGAACCATATGATTGTGACCGCTGATAAAAGACAAATGGCTTATCCAATTTATTCATGGTCTAACCGTGAAGACTTTATTCTCATTGTTGTTTCCTATCCCTGACATCAATGTGTCTATCCCAAGCTTTCCTGATCACCTCCACTGTATTATTCTCCACTCTCCCACCTCTGCTAGAAGACTATCTGGGCAACAGTTCCTGGGGGAAAAAATATATTTTGTCTTTTATTTCCCCCTGTACGGTTTAGTTCTGTTTATGTTCTCGTGATCCAGTTACAATCTTTCTAGATAATTAAAAGCATCTTAGACACATCATCATGTTAGACATTTTACTTACCTTGGCTTTCTGGAAAAACTTGTGTTTCAAAAGCTCTGCTGCTGTTGGTCTGTAGAAAGAAAGCAGATGGTTCTGTATATTAAGGATCCATTTATAGAAATGGCCCTATACATAGCATGTGTCTGTGAACACTTTGCAAAGTGGGGAGAGACCGAATTCTATATTAAACAAGTATCTGTGCAGAAAATAAAGGATTTCAAAATTTGTATAAAAATCAACAAACATTTTTTAATTATGTTCTATTTAACCACAATCCACAATAAGAGAACAACATTACTAATTGCCAGTGGTTCAGTCCTGATTTATAGCAAAAATAACAAACTACAATCGGGGTTATCTGCAAAGAGTACATTTTGGGAAATTCAAAGCAAATTCAACATTTTCGGCCAAAATAGACAAATTATAGAAATTCTTCAAGTCAGCGGTTTTTTGCTTTTTTGTTTTTTAACTTGGAACTTATTTTGAATTCCTGATCATTAACACTTTCATGAACAATCATATATTTAATGCATAAATTGCGTATATTCTCTAAAGTATAAATTGTCAGGAACGCAAAAAGGCAAATTAATTGATATCTGCTCTGTTGTACGTGGTGTATTAATGTCAAGGTGTCTCCTTTTGCAGTCAGTGCATACATTTTATAGATATGAATTGTGCAAAACAGACACAAATGATCAAATTATACGTGAGAACAAAGACTATCCTGCTTTCGATATTTACAATCCTCCATTAATGAATAAATACGAATGAGCCCTTAGACAGTGATCTACATGTGTTACCTTGCTAATTACAGTTATTGCTATAACATGGTTATAGATCTTTCTAGATTCCATTTCCTGGCTGGACTATAAGCTGGTATTTGGGCGAGGATAAGTCATGGACATGTGACAGGCAGGATTCAGTTTTACCTCTTCTCGGGGTCTTTCTGAAGGCACGAAGAGATCATCTTCCTGAAGGATTTGCCATATTTTTTCAGCATTTCTTTATCTTGCACACCCGTCTCCAGAGTCGGTGGATCGTTTTGTAGAGTTAACATTAAAACCTGCAAAAATTGCAGCAAGATGATTTCTTTTACCATTTTTCATGTTTTTGAATTTACAAAATCTTTCAATAAAAATCGATACATTGGAAAGAATGCAAAAAAGAAAAATAAATAAAAACAACTTTAACAAGCACTTTGCCAGACAATCATTCAAGAGCAGCACAAATCCAGAAACGTCTTGACCATGGGTGATTATCAGTTATTGCAACTGCCAGGTCACCAGCAGGAGACCAGCAAGTGGCACAGATCTCTATCCTGTTCTAGAACATGATGGGCTACTGCCTGCATAGGGGAATGCTAGAATACCATGGTCCCTTCTCCAGATAAAGGGATGGCTACATTGGACTCTAAATAAAAAATGACCGTGCAGCTTTCTGTATTGATTTTATTGCCTAGAGTGATCCTTTAATGAAGAGTAAATTACAGAGAAACTAAGCTACTTCATCAATTAACCCGACATGTATTGCTAACCTTCATTGGAGGATATTTGTGATAGGGGGCTGCACCGGTGGCAAGTTCAATAGCGGTGATTCCAAAACTCCAAATGTCAGCCTTGAAGTCGTACCCTCGAACCTGCAAGATTTATTAACAAAGCAACAAACAGAGTTGGTTAGATATGAGAATTAAATGAAATAGCCTGGCTGCGTATTATTCACAATGCAAAAAGGATACGGGAATAACGATGATCTACTGGAGAACCTATAAGTGGGCATAGAATGTACAGATGTTTGTCAAGAATCTAACTGCCAATGCCCCAAAAATGGGTTTAAAACTGGTTATCCCACTCCAAAAACCCCCCCACAAAAACAGGTTTATGTAAAGGAGATTTTCGATTTCAATATAAACGCTTTCAAGGAGAAGCTTTTCTTTACAGAACATCAAAACAGCAGAGGTTACTTTGTTTCTGAAGAACACATTTATTGGAAGGCTGCATGGAGAGAATGAAATTCGTTTTTTTCTTCCAATTTACAACCTGGCTATAGTAACTGCAGACTTGTGAATTGGTGTTCTCTTGTGCAACCTCTCTGCTTGAGATTGGAGAGAAACAATGTCTTTATTGGCCTTGCCGTCTTTCTAAACCAAGGAGTAAGGTCAGGGATTATTTGTGAAGCAAAAGTTTCTAGAACAGCGAGATCACCTTTAGATACGGTTTGTGACTCATTCCCAGACAAATATCACTGGCCATTGTTTGCCCAAGAACAAAATGCTCTTTGTTCGTCTAAAAGAGAAACTCTACCTGCTCCATGACCTCTGGGGCCATCCAGCAAGGTGTGCCCACAAATGTTTTCCGCACTTTATTCCTGGTGATGTCACCCCCTGTGGCAAGGAAAGCGCTAACACCAAAATCTGTGAAAGCAAGAAAGCGTGAGATTGTGAGGCTCGATTTTGTCCACATAAACTAATAAGAGGATATTTAAATAATTAAATATGTGATCTGCCTGTTATTTCAAAACGTCACACCATGCACTGTAAAGCAACAAGTGCAGATCATTTGTATTACATCCTGGAATGCAAGACTTTCTTTGTATCTTTGAGGTTCAGTCAGAGAATGGTGCAGGCTACATGGAATGTCGTTGCGGAGTTCAGATTTTATACATTGTTTGGGTCATTTTAGCATTTGTTCGAAATACTATATGTTTATGATATTTTGTCACTTGGAAGTCAAGGTGTTCAATAAACACTGAATTTGAGTAAATTAAATCTGAACTACAAAACTAGTGGATATGGAAAAAGTCTACAACCCAGCTAAAACTTCACGGCCCTTTCATTTTAGCCCGAATTTTAAATTCCAGGTTTAATTTGCAGAAATTCTGTGTTTAGTGAATAAAATTGTAGTCTACTAAATTACCAACAATTGCAAAGTAGCTCTGCGAAGCTTTCCATAGTTTATTTTCAAAACCAAAAATAATTTCAGTCAATTACATATCAACTTTTTGTATAGTTACAAATGCCAAATTTAGAAAGATTCTATACTTCCTGAAACACGTTTCTTTGTCTTAAGTTTACAAATCATGTCAATAACATTAACTACAATTTCTTGCATACCAAAATAAATCATTCTGGCCAAATCCATAATTTATATCCAATTAAAGGGACAAGTCACTTCACAGAATTCTTATTATGTTTACTTATCCCCACACTTAAAGTGAAACAGTCACCGAAATTTACATCACTGAACACAGCTTTAAAATTTAGAAACTTGTCTTAACCTTTCTTCCATGAGATGCTGTTTTCTTTAAAATTTACATTAAAGGTTTAGCAAACAACATTACAATCCAGTTCAATCTGGGCACATCATAGCAAATATTGTACATAACGAGGTACAATGATACAACATTGTCCCATTCCTATGACTTGCTCGTTGCTGTTTATCAGTGTCCCCAGCAGATCAGATTTTTATTTTGTTTTGTTATTAATATTCACTTGGAATTTTGAGAGCTTACACTTTAGCAAATAACACGGTGTGCTTTTTTTGAGCTGCTGCTAGAAAGAGGTGTCAAAATCCTGAAATATATTTTACCTGCGATCTGAACTGATCCGTCTTCACCCAGGAGAATATTTCCAGCCTTCACATCCCTGCGGTAAAAAGGTTTGATGAAAGACCACCTAAATAATACAAATATCTGCAACATGGAGATTAGCTTCATTTCAGGAAGTGGTTCTGGGACATATACCAATATTTTCATAAATTAAAGGGACACTATAGGCACCCAGACAACTTCATCTCATTGATCCCCTTAGTAAAGCAATGTAAAGTATTGCAGTTTTAGAGAAACTGCAATGTTTACATTGTAGTACTAAGACTGCCTCCAGTGGCTTTCTTTTAAACAGCCACTACGAGGGTCTTCCCAGAGTTTTACTCCAGCATTACAAAACCTTATAGGAAAGCATGGAGGCACCACGAACCAGCATTGAGAAACATTGGTGCTGGAATTGGGTAAGTGATTACAGAGGGTTTTAACCTTTATATGGGCCGTGGATGTGAGGGGAGAGGGGCAGAGGGCACATAAAGGGTTAAATACAATCCAACTTTATATTCCTAACAGAGTCCCTTTAATTAATTATATATTACAGGGAAGAACAAGATGGGGGCAGAGAGGAACAAGATAGCTCTAGGCTGCATCAATGAAACCGCTTTTCTGAACATTGTAAACTGATAAAGAGGATTGATGCTAGCTTAAGAGCTGCAGTTATTTGTAAAGCAATACGTAGATAAGGCGTTATGTGTGGGCACCTTTTGGCATTCCTGATGATGTGGATTACATCTACCATAATTCTCTTACAACCATAACGCTGGCAAAGCATCAGGGGAGATACTGAAGGTTGCCCACACCAACATACTTAATGCAATAAAATATGCAAAATATATTTCCTTTAAAAATAAAACTTTGCAAGTCCTCTATTTTCTGCAAATATTCAAGATTTGTATCTCCTGCAGTGATCACTAAACCAGTAAGTGGTTCAACTCAATCCTGGTGTTCCACTAGATTTCAATAGTAGTGTAGAGAGACTCTCCTAAATCTCAGCATAGCTCTGATTTATGGGCATAGCAGAGGTTCATGAGAGCTGCAGGTCGGTTTTTGGCTTTCTACTAAAGACACACATGTATACACAATACATATAAATAGTATATTCCAAAACATTTGATATAGAGTTACTAGTTGTGTACTATTTCACCTTTGTCTTATCTTCTAAATCCAAGCGCAAAATAAATCTTTAAAAAAAATGGTAATCATACAAAATCCAATCAATATGGCCATCCCAGTCGGGCTCGGATTTTTCGAGGAGAAGACATATCGACTCATTAAACAAACATTTCACATCCACGGATGATAGGAGTTAACAGAATTGATAAGCAATGACATTTAGAGGAAAATACAGCTGCTATATTGCACGTGCCTTGCAAAGGCTTCTCATTGAGCAGTGATTCGACAGCCACAGAAAGTCTGGGCTGGATTAGAAGGGGAGAGCTTGCAAAGGTTGCAGACAAGAGATCTGCAGATTTTGCAAGCTGTTTTAGATACAACTCCAATGCAGAATTAAATGTGTGCATGTTTTCATCGAGGGAATATCTACTAAACAATGTGGGGAGTGATGTGTCCCTTTAAGAAATGATACAGACATTATGAAGGAGGACACGTCTTGGCAAGCGCTAACCTTTCCATTTCACACCAGGCTGGTTTCTGTAAGAGCTTCCACCTGCTCTACGGCACAGTACATTAATACATTACTTGGGCTTTTAAGGAAATGGCCCACAAACCACTGTGTAACACTTTATATAAATCTTGTTCTTCATCCACTTGGAAAACACAAACCAGGCGCGTAACAAATTGGTTCATCGGGTTGTGATAATGCACACAGCAGGATCTGCCGCTCTTACAAACACTGCATTCTAAAAGGAACAGCATGGCTTCCAATATATCGCTGGTGTAATACAGAATCCACACTAAACACTGCTCCCTATATTCCATCTTGTACAGCCGGTTACGATGATGGAACCACTGGAGGCTGCTACTGTCAGTCATGGCCACCTACAGACCATGAGATGCCGCCACTTGATGCTGGTAATACAAGATCATTTCTCGATTGATTTGTTAGTCTTCTTACTTTGCTGAAGCAATGACTATGAATATATTATTGCCTCAGAGGTTTCGGAATGAAAATCCCAAACACTTCCTCTCCCTGATTTTGGGATGAAAATCCCAAACACTTCCTCTCCCTGATTTCAGGATGAAAATCCCAAACACTTCCTCTCCCTGATTTCGGGATGAAAATCCCAAACACTTCCTCTCCCTGATTTCGGGATGAAAATCCCAAACACTTCCTCTCCCTGATTGTTGATGATGTGTACGGATATATTTCTTTCCTTCATATGCATCTCCCAAATCTCTACTTGTTTTTTTTTTAGCATTGTCTCATTTTAAGAAGGAGCGATTCCTTCAAAACCAAGGTTGTCGCAATTAACTATATTATCACTGACACAGTTATTTAATCTTATTTTGCTTATCTCCGCCAACCTCCCTATTATTTGGGTACAAAATGAACGAAACACAAAGAACATTTCACACACATAAAGCACTTCAGCATATTTGTGACAGTTTATAAAAGTGCAGATTTCAGCAGAACTTTTATAATTGTTGGGTAGAAACACGCAGGCACTCAGCCAGCCACGGAGGTTTTCCTCCAACTTCAGTAATCGCAATAGAGCTAACAGAAGGAGCATGCACGCTAAGCTATTACACGATTGCTTCCCTTACATTAGCAACGGGTTTATTACAAATTATTGAGAAGCGCTGGAAAGAGCAACTGTAGGCGCACGTGTGGCTCCAGCAGACGCGTCTCTGATTGCTATGTCTCCCGGCACAGACTGAAAGAGCATGGCTTGCAAAGGCTGCAGAAAGCAGGTCTGCAGCTTTTGCAGGCTGTATTTTCATATACACCCAAAGAAAACATGCATGTATGTCTTTTGGGTGACATACCTACTAAACTGTTAAAAAAAAAAAAAAAAAAGTAAAAAATGAAATGGTAGTTCCTTAGAGCTAACAATTTCCTCTTCTGGTTAACTCGATCAGTGTTAAGCTGGCAGAGGCGGATTTCACTTGCTGCATCACAAAATGAGTTTCTATATTATAATATGTTCCTGTATTATAATAAACCTCCATATATCCCAACCTAGACCTACAGCACCCTAACAAAACAAACTTGATTCACACTTTATATGGGCCACTATGCTCTTAACACACATTCGCCACACTCTGCAAACGAACATCATCGCTCTTTCAGACCTACAACATCCATTTAAGAATCATCATGCTCATTTTCCATATAAATAATCATTTTGTGTTTGTTCACATTGTGAGTACAGCAATGCTGGATGTGTATAGGAGAGTGTTTGAAAGCAGTAACAATACTGGTATCAAACTCACCAATTTGACTTGGATGAATATTAAAATTTATTCATCACAAAGACGGTAACAATTTGACAGAGATCATGCCTTTTATCCCAAATCAATCAGTGTAATTACTACTAAAGGTTTTAGGCTCAGTTACAATGAATCTTTCAAATCCACGTATTCAAAGTAAGGAAAGTCAGCTGTAATTATATTAAATACACTCTGTGTTTCTTAAGCCTCTCTCACACCCACGAATGGATTTAACCTAGAGCACAGGTGTGTCAAAAATTCAGCTCCTGTTTGATATAATTCAGTTCAGAGTATCATTTGAAGTGGTAAATTATATCTTACGTCTCAATTTAACAGCGACACTCAATTTTAAACAAACATGATTTAAGAAGGATAATGACTATCCATGTAAACGACAAACTTGCTGTAGAGATTTTTTTTTAGAGATGACTATTTGAATAAAAACACACAGTGTGAGACGAACATTGATCATGCGGTTTGACTCTGCATTGCCTGTAGATACCAAATGGCTAGAGCAATGACAGGGTTACAGACAGAGAAACTTGATGAGCGGATATAATTTAGAAGAAACAGAAGTGCGATGAGACTTAGTAACCCCCTTTTCATAAAATACTTGCACCCAGTCTAGTTTTATTGATGTGCAAATTACATACATCTATAACTACCCTGTCCAAAAAATAATATGGGGATTTTCTTATTTTACGTGTTTGAGTGAACAGAAACTGCAGTAGGTACTTCTGTACATACCTGTGGATCTGTCCATTTTTATGCAGGTACTCTAGCCCTTCCAGAACCTCTTTCAGCATGGTGGCAATGCTCGGCTCATCCAAAACCCCGTTCTTATGCTCTCCCTTTGCAACTATGTGTTTGATGATATCCAAGACGGAACCTGAGAAGATATGGAAGCAAAGGTTACAAACTTGGCTGAGGAGCAATAGTTAAACATGTGCCATCACTCTGCATATTGTCTGAAGCATGCAAGAAACAAAACACTAATTAAAAAGGAACAATCTTGTAACTTGATTTTGAAATAATTGAAATGTTTCCGATATTAAGGAGAGATAGTCTCATATCACTCAGAGCAGGTTTAAAAGGAATGCGCTATATATATATATATATATATATATATATATATATAAAAATTATCTTCGCACAAGTGATAAAACTGCCCATTGAGTGGCTGACAGAGGAAGAAGGTACTGTCCCTCCTCTGCCTGTACAAATATTTGTACTGTATGCGTTGCATGCGCACACCATTCAAGTCTTCATTTTCCTTGTCAGACACAGTTACAGCTTTCTGAAGAGGTGGTGATCTCTGAGCAGGGAAGAACCACAGCATTTGCCAAATAATTTCAAAACAAAAGGTAGATCAGCAGATGTTGTACAACTGGAACTTGCTTGATGTTTAGACGTTCTACAGGCATCATGGTAGCGTTAAATCTACAACATCTGGGGTCTACCTTCTCAGCCCTGGTTTAGACTGCTAAAAAAAAAAAAAAAAAAAAAAAAAAAAAAAAAAAAAAAAAAAACTTATCGTGCGCTTTTGTGGTTATGGTGCATTTATTATTAAGGTTTCTTTAATATCACTTACAAAAAGTTAAAAAACGGCCTTAAAGACAGACATTAAAACCAGAAATGTGAGCAGAAGGATTTAGTATAGAAAGGCAAGGGAGTGAGGATTCCATTAATTTGTATGGCAGATATAAAAAAAAAATACAGTGCCATCAAAATTATACATTTTATCATCTTCCGGATCGGATCTACGAAGGGAACGAACACAAGGTATTTAGGTATATACACTGCCAACAGCAATACAAACAATGGTTAGAAATTACACAATTTCCTGCCAACATAGCTCTTCATTAGGCAAGTGTCTGGTATTTTAGATCACAGATTATCTAAAGATTAACAAATCACTCCGATATTCCATGAATGAACAACATACGGCTTAATTATCACTGTGTGTGTTCTCTGTAAGCCATCTAACTGCTAATTACACAGTCTAAGCCATATGATCTTTCACTGAATGGAAAGGCAAAGAGAGTGCAGTTTAATAGAGGATTTCTGTGGGTATAAAATCGCACGATTAGATAACTTAAACAGGCATTTATAATAAGCATATATTTTTATATAGTGCTTTGTTCAGCAATGGGACCTAAATCAATCTAGCTCACATTAATTAGAGTTACTTATTTTGTCAACCTTAGAAACAGGTGGAGCATTAACTAACTCAACTAACATCCGGGCTTTTCTTACTACAAGATAACCCACTCATTAAAAGGGATATGGAGTCTAAGCACAGAGCATATTTTATTTCATAATAAACTGTAGTGTTTGGCAGAAATGACAAACTTGGAATACCTTGTAACAGATATTATGGAACTATAACAGCAGAACAATGAAACACCATACTTGCAACAGATACCAAATTTTCAAAAATAATTATAAACTGATAAAATACTAACATCACTCTCACATTAGGCAAAACACAAGGTGTAGTATTGATGCAACATTCACACTAAAAAAATATTCCCCACTGTTCCAGAGTGCTCCATGGGCAAGTGACTGCCACATGAAATATATTCACATTACGTCCAGCCTGACTGAATGTTTCATTTACACCGATAAAATTTATAGTGGCATACACACACAACAGGCAGAAATAAGCACAACATTTTCATCACACGTAAGACAATGAAAACAGGCACGAGATATATTTTGCTGGCGCATGGGTGTGCCAGGATCAAGATTTGATTTACAAGCGTGACTGGTTCAGAAAACGGAGGCGATTCCCCATAAAAGCACAAATGGATGAATTTACACCCTACAGCTAAAACGTTAAAATGTGGGCTGCGAATATCACACAGACAACATGTTTTTTATTATTCCATCACTTCTCATCAGCAGAGTATGGAATTGTGATATGATTACCCATGTGCTCCTGACCCTGACGTAGTATTTGAATATTTTTTCCTCCATCGTGCAGTGGATGATAATCAACAAAGCCATTCTAAATCGATCACATGTGTGGGCCTGGGTGGACAGCCCAGTTCTTGGCTAAGTCAATTAACAGAGCGCTAACCAACGCTTACCTCCACTTAACAACTTCATCACAAGCCAGAGCTCATCCTTCACCACAAACGAGGTATAGTAGGAGACAATGTTGGGGTGATGGCACTGACTCATTGCCTGGATTTCTTTCTGATTAAATTGAATGAAAAAGAAGAAAGAGAAATTGAAATCAGTTAAGAGTCGCCAATATTCTGAATAAAACAAATCAGGCTTGAAAATCTTTTTGTGATGCAGTGTATTTTTGTATTTCATGTCAATTAAGCTTCTACATTTTACCATTTAGCGTAGCCAAAAAACAGCAACAATATTTTTAAAAAGTGTCAATCATTATTTTTAGCAGAACAACAATGGTGGTCATATGGAGTCCTGTAGCACATATTTAGCCGGTGACCTACAGGGAAAGCAAGTCCTGCTCTCAGTGCACAGATCAAGATATGGGCAGCTTTTAATAGAAAATGCTGAAGTGAAGCTTCCTTAGTATCTTGGTGGCATCAAAGAGACCATTTCAACATTTTGAAGGAAAAAAAAAAAAAAAATACACCTTGCACCATAACATTGCCATGAGCTACAGAGGTTTTGATGATAACAGTGAACCATTTAAGTCCCATTGCTGCAATATAAATTGCACATTTTACTTGGCCTGGTCCAAGTAAATCTTCATAATGGTGAATGGGTCTTTGCTATTCCACATACGTTATATTCTTGTGTCATCTGGCCTGTACCTCCCTGTGTATCCAGAGCCTGAGAAAAGGGCCTCCAAGAATCCTGAGTCCACACCACAAAAGCTGCCATACTGTGCAAGTCTACACAACCCCTCTAGGCTGTGGGCAACAATGGCCAGCACTACCCTGAGAGGATCATCAAAGCTCAGCTCTAACCCCCATCATCAAGACATTCTTCTGAGAACATATTACCATCATGGTCTGTCTGAAATCACCGACACCAAATAAGGTCAAGCAGGGCAATCATCTTCCATAATACTGACATTTCCATTAAACATAAGTGTACCAGGGCAAGAACACTTTAAAGGGTTACTCCAAGCACCATTTCAATGTTTTGAAGTGGTGATAGTGCCTGCAGTCTGTATGTAAAATTCTGGCTATATGGAGATAGACCCCTCTACACATTTTGAAACACTCCACTCCCAGCAGCGTTATTAGCCAGCCCGGAAGTCCTAATGTTAATTTTGTGCAAAATTGGTGTCAGAGCAGCACACACAGCATGTTGGCACAAGACAGCCAATGGCAGCGTGGCCAGCTCCTCCCTGGCCTCCATAAAACAACGGGAAGAGACATCAACAGAGAAAGACTGGGCTGAGAGAGCATTTGGCCTCAGCGCTGGAACCGAGGTACGTTTTAGCCTTTTATTTAAGTACAGCAGAAAAGCTGGAGGGTCACTCTAACCAAAACACTGCATTTTGGTTGGAGTAAAAATGGCTTCCTCGTTTCTTTAATGAAAAAAATACTGGACAAAAAAAAAAAAAAAAAATAATGACTTCCCCTAAAATGAGCAAATTGAGATCCATAGGCATTTATACAAATGTAATCACATGTAATCGTTTATTCAAAAAATCTATATATTTAAATCAAGTATGATCCTAGTTTTGCTCTAAACAAACTTTTCTCTCCCTATACCCTATACCTGCAAAGTTCAAAATCCATCTGTAGAGTAATCCAAGGCCAGGCAGTGATGGGGTTAATCACACGGCACACATCGAAACACAATAGAAATGATAATTCAGCGGTTTGATCAGAGGCTGAAAACAGTGAGTGCCAGGACTAAATCACCAGGCGCTACGAATTATACAAAGTGATCAGATTCCATTGGGATTGATGTAGGCTGCATGCTAAACACAGGGGTTGGGGGAGCAGGGGTACGCTGGCTATCTGTGGTACAAAAAGCAGCAGAGCCCCCCTTCCTGTGCAACAGCGAGTTTTAGAGCACAATCAAAAATATATATAAAACACCTTATTATAAAGGAGTGAGTGGATTGCAGTTAGCTCGGTTTCAGTAAATCAAACTTTATGGTCTAAAAGTATCAGCCCAGGTGTACAAACAGCAGCCTCCACCAGTAGCAAGTGTATTATGATGGAACATGTGACAACGAATAGTATCAAGATATCTCAGACTCCTTGTACAGGTTATAGTGCAAGGAGCTCTCTGATACTGGTCTTACATGCAATTAAATAGCTCCATGGATTTGCATAAAATCACAGGAACTAAATTCTCATAACCCCTTGCCCGTAAGAAAACGTTGAATATTATGGAAACACAGTATGTATACAAGAACTTGTATATTATGGAAACACATTATGTATTCAGTAAGTCAGTCAAAGTACGCAGGCTCCCTCCAAATCGGTGAATCTGCCAGAGAGGCAGGTTTTGTTTTATGCCAAAGATCTGGAATAAGGAGTAAAACTGGTGAAAATCAGTCAATTCGCTATCTTTTTTCGGTTTCCTGGAATTCCATCTGGAATCTGGTTACCTGCTGGTTCCTGCTCAAATCACATGACTCCTGATAGGTTATCATGACAACCGAGTGTCCAAAATATGCCTATGGGATGTGTGAATTCCTGGCATGAATATGTAATAATTCAGTTGTGATCCTCCGCAGCTTTAAACAAAGATTTGTCACACCGCTCAAATGCCGCCCATAAAAGGTTTGCATAGGGAACCTGCATTTATTATGATGCCAGCTACATTTATAGCTATTATAAATACATTTGTGTTCTAAATTTGGCTGTGCGAGGAAAGGGTTTGGCTTGGAGCTTGCCAGTTCCTCATACATTCGAGATGGTCAAAGCATGATTCAGATCCAAAGTATTCCCATATCCTGAATAAATGGATTTTTTTTTTCTGCTTGGTTTATGGCAGACAGGTCTGCCTAACGAGATGTTAATCCATAATTAAATATCAATATTTAATGAATACTATAAGATTTCTCTCTCCTACTACACCACAAGGCTAGTGCTGCAGGCACTGAGACTAGTTAAGCACACAGCTGCTGTGAGGAGAAGAAATACCTTAAGAATTATTGCAAAAACTGGCTTAATGTACATGCTCAAAACTGGATAGTTTGCAAGAAAACAAAATATCCCACACAAATGAAAGCTTGCTGCAGCATTTCAAAGCATCTGATCAGCAGGTGATTGCACAAAATCATTGATTTCAAACTCGCAGAGGGATCCGTACTGCAGCTCGGTTACACACAAAGTAGCCACAACCGAAATCCCATTCATTAAAATAAAAGAAAATGGAAATTGGGAGAATACACCAAGGCAAGCTTGTCAATTATCCAGAGACAGACTGGGATAACACTGGGTGTTTGATTTAAAGTGAGACTCTGAAATGGCAGATCAGATTCCGGTAAAAAATAATAGTCGTAGCTTATAACACTGTCCCAGCGTTCTCTGCTTTCTCTATTCACTGGGTGAAGTCTGCCAATCAAACGCTGTATATTACCAAGTAATTTAAACTGTACAACATGAGTGTGTGTCATTATTACATCCACCCATGTGCTTCAGGAATTTTCAGTCCCTGCCTTCAGAAGAATAGGTCGTCTCACGTCAAACCTCAGCAGTGAACAGAGAAATGGAAAGAAGTTAGCACTAAACTTGGTGTCAAGACATTGATCAATATTGGTGCCAAATTTCTATAAAAATAATAAAGTAGTGAGGTCTATCTATTTAAAGATTATTTGTCCCAAAATTGTTGTGATTTTTTAATATAAAGCATAAGCACATGGGTCCCCCTTGTTACGCAAGATACAGACCATAGCCTAAACATATACATATTTATAACACAAAACACGATAAATGGTTCTTGGAGGAGTGGACTCATGGGAAGGAAGGAGTAATGCTACATTGCCATCATTATTACCAGTAGTTCGTCCATGCTGGTCTGACATTTTTCAAGGTTAATCCTCTTGATTGCCACCTTCTCCTTTTTGGGAGCGCAGTAAGCAGCTTGTACCACAGCCGTCGCTCCGCTTCCTGCAAAATAAATAAAAACACATTGCGTGAGGTCCGAGAGTTACAGAATTTTAATGATCAGATTTACATATGATCCTAATCTGCCCAGACTGAATGGCATGGGCAGGAAAAACAACAATATAGCCCAGCTCCGACAGTAAACACATAATGTAGAAACATGCAATAATATTAATTTTTAGAGGATTCTAGTAAAATAGTAATTAGTAGACCGGCCATTAAATAAATTTCACCTGGCAGAGAATTCTGGGATATGTAGTCTAATAGGTGAAGGGAGGAGATTGGACACACTTGATCCAGAAAATGTTGACATGTGACAGAAATAACTAGAATGAGTAATTAAAGGAGCAACATGGTATCAGTTCTAGTTTGGCAGCAACGTCCCCTTCAAAGTCTTGGTAAATTAACTGTGAATTTGCTTTACGGTTTCATTTAGAAATCGGATTTAGTAAGGATATAAATTCTTCAATTGTCTCAAGGTGACTAGCAGTGCTGTCATTTGGAAATAGAGCTGCCCCCTGCTAGTGAGTTCAGGTACAGTATGGGCATAAAAGTACTCCAATCTCGTGTTTATTGGGGAAACTGTTGCGCCAGGTAAAAAGAAGCTTGAATATATTCATTTACACTGTCAGGGATAAAGTAAGTCTTTCTATACAATTCTTTTAAAAACCAATGAATTAAAATAAAAAGAGCAATAATCTAATAGATCCACGTGTCTCGCCCTTGTAACCTACAAATTCCCTTAATGTTTTGATAAAAGTCAGTAAAAGTCTAATGTATTAAAAACACACACGGTATTTACTAAAGTGAGAATTCAAGGTGAATTTCAAATTTAAGGTCAATATAGACAAACGGAAAAAATCTCTTAGCCAGCTATGGTTGCCATGCGGCTACTCTATCCGGTTATGTGTAAATAGTAGGATTATATAATTCATTATTACAGGATACACCAGAACTCATTTCTAAAAATATACCAATAAATTCCTTTCCCGGGTAAAAGTATAGTGAAGAGAGAAGTTTAAAATTGTCAAATCTGTAGATGTCAAGGCAGCCTCCTGATAAGTATACACTGTAGTCTGTACATTGAGCTGGCCCAAAAAACATCATTATGTATAGATCAAAATATACCTACCTACACATAGCATGTATAATACAGTTATGTGCAGAGCTTTATATGTATAAACCTTTTCAGGTCACAGAGTGTGAGACCCACTCGTTACATGTGCGTTCCATAGAAAGGGGCAGACTAGTCACTATGATAAGATGGTTTCTATAGTAACTGAAATTTAAATAGAACTTTATTTTACGCCTAATTAGAGCTTGGGAAGATCGTTAAAAAGGGCAGCTTCACAAATAGCAGCTTTGTTAACAAAGACATATTGTTAAAGGGGGGGAAACAAAACAGTGGTTTATTTACTAAACATATTACAGCTAAATGAAAACGGAATTGAAACATTCAGGGTAAAAACACTGACTGCAGTATTTTCATGACACTACAATTCAGAGTTTAGTGAATAAGCCCCACCATATTTAACTTTGCAAAATGTTATTAAACTTAACATGAAGGAGAATATTAAAGGGACAATAAGCACCAAAACAATTCTAGCTTAAAGTAGTTTTAATGTCTAGGTCATGCCCTGCACTTTTTTTATGCTACCCTAGCCACACTGCCCCTGGCTGAGTAGAACACGGTCTTCCTACACATTTCATGTAAAGGGACATCTAATGTGTATACTTCCATTATTGCACATTCTGTTTCATTTAGAATTTCTTATCACCTGCTCTGTTAATATCGTGCTATTTACTGCAAGAGCCTCCTGTGTGTGATTAAAGTTCAATTTACAGAGCAGGAGATAAAGACTTCTAAAATAAATGCATTGTTCTGTAAGATTTGAGTGAAAATGAAACCATTTTGTTTTCATGCAAGCTCTGTGAGTGACAGCCAGGAGAGGTGTGGCTAGGGCTGCATTAACAGAAACAAAAGTGATTTAACTCCTAAATGGCAGATAATTAAGCAGTAAGACTGCAGGGGCATTATCTATACACCAAAACTACTTAATTAAGCTAAAGTTGGTTTTGATGCTTAGAGTATCCCTTTAATTAATATGATTATTTACTAAACTGCGTACATGTGGAGATGTCAAAATGGTAAAACGAATGCCAAAATAGTTGAATTGACAAACAATGGATACATTTGGAAATCATTTCTTTAATTCTGGATTTAGAGGATTTTGTCATTCCCGCCAATTGATAATGTATCAATTCTACATTAATTAACTGCTTTCACAAAATGTGGCCAGGATAGCAGACCATCACTCACCGAGGACTAAATATCATTAGACTGAGCACGCTATGCCTCACTGCCCTCAGCGGTTGTCACAGACGTCCAGGGTTGGATAAATTTGTACTGATAAAATGTAATTTCCGTATTATCTTTGCAAATGCAGAGAGCTTTAGGGGTATGGGACTCCCTATATACACACACAGCTATAACCATTAAATGAGCTACAGTGTTTATGGTGTTTAGCGTTCCCCTTTTACCGTCACGGATTTACTGCAAGTTACTGGAAAAGCTGTTTATTACAGATCATTTCATGTTTTTTTCCACATTAGCGGCATTTCTATTGTAGAACAATTTCTATTTATAATAATCATAAGATCGCCCATATTTTTAGCTTTGAACATTTATATCATTGAGGGCTGGAAGAAGGGTTCCTCATTTAACAGGGTCACACGAAACTTTATGAAGTTTGGCAACAGTCTCTATAAATAGTATTCTATATTGCAGACTTTAAAGGGCCACTAGAGACACAGACCAGTTCATCTGAATAAAGTGGTCTGGATCACAGTGACAGTGGTCCTGTCATTTTAACCTTTCAATGGAAAACAATGCCATTTTGTAGAAACAGCAATGTTTACATTAAAGGGTTAAACCTTTAGAGGCACTTCCACCTCCAGAACCGTGTCAGACTCATCGAAGCATTTGCGTGAAGTTTTACAGCGCATGTATATCTTTGAGAAGCATTGTATTAGACGAGATTGCGGAAGAGTCAGCAAAGATGGAGGCAGAGCGGGCAGCTGCAGAAGTCTCTGTGATGGCAATGAGGCGAGTAAACTGTAATTCACTTTGATTTTTAATAGGGAAAGGTTAGTGGATGGATGTCACAACAGCAGAAGGGAACTTATGGTTCCAGAAATAACATTTTCAGGACTATAGGTTCCTTATAAAAAGAGACACTTCAAGTACCATAACTACTAACTGTTCCGTGCTTAGGCTAGGATGCAGAAAGCATCTCCAGCCATCAATGAAATTGCTTGGGAGTGCTGAACCGCAGATCTCATGAACCACAAGGCATTACCAGTACCCAAACGGAGAACCAGGATTGGTTGAAAAGTCTGTAAATCACTGGCCACCTTAGTATTTATCACTGTGTGTGATTTCATGAAGTTCTTCATAAATCCCAAGTCTCACGACCTATGTGCTGTGGCAGATAGTAAAGCGAGGATAATGGAATACTGAAAGAATTGTAACACTGACTTAACACAGACCTCGCTTTGCGACCATGGGACCAAGGCAGGAGGAACTCTTGGAGTTGTTTGCCCTACCCAGCACCCAAAGCCCGGCCATTCTCCTCCTGCTTGAATGATACAGACGTGTCATTTTTAGACAGTAATGAAATGCTGTGAGCACGGAGCATGGGTTAGCTTAGCATACTTAGCCCATCACTGTGTCCAAGGCTGGAGTGCTTTACCTGAAGAACACTGATATAGACTGACATTATATGAACAATTACAGTTGGGAGGATGCAACTAAATACCTTTATAATGGAGACAAGTTCTCTTGGAAGCTGCACAAAGAGTGGAGACTCTGTTAACCCCTAAAAAAAAACTCAGCTAGCTTAAGTGCTTTAGGTCTGTGGAATGTGCCTCTGTGTTTTAGGGTTCTAAACAGGATAAAATAAATTAAAAAACACAGAGTGATGGGCCATCTCCCACTGGGTACAGTCTGACAGCCTGAAGATACTCTAACATGTACGCCAGAATGCATTTTTGGACATTTGAAAAGCAAACAATAATAATAGCAGATAAAAGCCACTGACAAAATGGGTTTGCCATCCAGATCTGGCACACTGAGGTATGGGCACGGATGTTTCTGCAGGCATGAGTTGCAGAGCAGACATATTTACAGATTGCCTCCAGGGTCACAGATATCAACCCCATGCGCGCGCGCGCACACACACCCACACACACACACACACACGAGAATCAGGGGCCGCGAGTCGGTTTCAGGGCTCTATTCCCAGATTCACTTTTAAATAGGGTCTCATTCAAAAAAAAAAAATAGATCTCAATAGACATTTAAACTGTAAGTCAATACTTAGCATTTTATAGAAAGTTTGACAGAAACGGCTGAGTAAGCGCACACGCACGCACACAAATTCAACCTGCGTTGGAAAAATTACTTATTTACACAAATGTACCTATCTCCCATTAACACAACACTGCAGGTCATTAAAATTAGCATTCTATAAATACGGACACAGCTCTGGAGAGCATTTAACCCCTGAAAGCCACGACAGTGAGGAATACATTAAGACAAAGCGGCATATTCACTAAACATTGCTTCGTTGAGCGTTGGAAAGAAACTTGCAAAGTGTAGGTAGGCTTTGTTAATTGACATTCAGTCAACTCCAGTCTGACTTTCAATTTCACGACTCTTAGGCAACTTTCAAGAGGCACCGTCCCCTGTAAATGTTTTGCCACAAATCCGGATAAAACAATAATGCAAAGAGATAAAAAGGATGTCGGTCACCTCAAAAATATTTTTTAATATAATATACCTATAAACCTTTCAGCAAAATTTGAAAAGGAAGTAAAAACATTTTTTAAATTAAGCAAATGTAAAAAAATTTTTTAACATAAAATATAATAATTGAAAAATTCCTCCCTACCAACAAACTTCCTTCAGCCATATAACTACACCCTGGATCAGACTGTGGGGGCACAGCTGGAATATTGCTGCCGTAGTGACTAAAATTCATACATAATACAGATCCAGGAACAGCGCACTCATAAAAATACAGTTTTACATTTTATAAAATCACCTGTCTCAGCAACCAAATATAGGGATTCAGTTCTACCATATGGCCATATTGTGTTAAGCCCACCATTACTTCACTACTACCACTGCTTGAACAACAACAACCGTCTCTATGGTTTTTCCTGCTTCACTCCCAGCTCAATATAATGGAAGACTATAGAGACAGTCGAATTTCAAGCACTGACCCAAGGTGTACGAATATGGCTGAAGGACCCAGTTATATACTAAAAAGGTAGGGATGGGGTTTTCACGTTTTATTGATTTATTTTTTGCATACTCTTCATTTAAAAAAAATAAAAATACATTATATAAATATACACATGCACACATACACACTTTCAAAATAAAGCGGTCATACGTTTAGGTGGAAATACTACTTGAAGTTCTGTAATCTGTGTTTCAGAGTGGATGCAGCGATGGGCGGACTGAACACTCTGGAAAATCGTCATAGACCGTGGTGGGCAGTGAACCAACCACTCAGCTGGGGAGTTCAAAGAGCTCCCCAATAGCCAGCACACAACAAGGGGCCCACACAGCTTTCTGCTGCCCCTGTTGATAAAGCTCCGCCCCCTTCGGGCAGTAGCTGGCCGAGTAGTCTCATGCTCCAGTGAGTAAATGCAGGCTTTTGGCTGTTTGGAGATGGTGGAGTTATGGTGGGAGTCACTTCCCTGACTCCTGCACAGCTTGGTCGCACAGGAGTTTCCCTGTTAAGGCTGGGCAAAGGGAACAGCCCAGCTTATGCAGCACCAAATACATCAGACGTATGACTGTCTTTGGGAAGAATGGCCAACTAATGTTTATGGTGGTGATAATTGGCTAATACTTGTGGATTCTTACTCGCCTGTCTCTATGTGGAGAGGCAGAAATGGAAAATTGGCTAGTGGTGGCCATGGGGAGAGACAGAAATGGAGACTTGGCTAGTGGTGGCCATGGGGAGAGACTGAAATGGAGACTGGGCTAGTGGTGGCCATGGGGAGAGACCGAAATGGAGACTGGGCTAGTGGTGGCCATGGGGAGAGACCGAAATGGAGAATAGGCTAGTGGTGGCCATGGGGAGAGACCGAAATGGAGAATGGGCTAGTGGTGGCCATGGGGAGAGACCGAAATGGAGAATGGGCTAGTGGTGGCCATGGGGAGAGACCGAAATGGAGAATGGGCTAGTGGAGGCCATGGGGAGACACAGAAATGGAGGACAGATATGGAGAATGGACTTGTAGTGGCCATGGGAAGAGACTGAAATGGAGAATGGGCTAGTGGTTGTTGTCCGATGTATAATGTTTCTTCAATAAAGATCTCTATTTTTCATATTACATGGTTGGATACTTTCCAGACAGACCTCATATTAAAAAAAAAAAAAAAAAAAAAAAACATTTAAATATCATACTACAGCAATCACCTGATGCCCACAGCCAATCAGAACCAGTTATTTGCAACGTAGCTTCCAACATTCCATTGAGCAGTTCTTTGCAATCCATGCAATGTTCGATGACCCTCCACAGGACATGCATGTCCCCGTGCTGCCTGAGATTAGTGGGAATTACATTAAATGGCAGCAGGTGGCACGTTGTAACTCCCTATAATCGTGCTGGGGCATGCATGTCATACCTTCACCCCCCCGCCGCCCAGACTGCACAGAAGTGATCCATGCATTGTTACCCATTAATTACGGGAAATAATTGCACAGATGATGTCACCATGCAAGCAGTACAAAACACACACACACACACACACACACACACACACACACACACACACACACACACACACACTTTCTGCCAAATCCTACCATTCCCCTGACTCTCCCCTCCCCTAAAAACAGTAACTGGGCCCTCCTAACTCATTATCATGGCAACCTTGTAACAGAATATGATTTGCAAGATAATCATTCTAAAGGGAAACAAAACCCAAATGTAACTCTCGGCTCCTGACTGCCCACCTGCTTTGATCTCCAGTTACCAAATTCATTTTTAACACCTTGTCTTAGACGACAAAGCGAGCTGAAAGTTTCCACATCTGCAAATGGGATTTTCCACTCCCTCCCCACTATTACTGCCCAAACACATCTTAGCAACTCATATCCCTGCTATGGCCAACTAACAACCCCCGTCTTTATTTATTTATAAAATATTTTACCAGGATGGTACATTGAGATTTCTCTTGTTTTCAAGCATGTCCTGGGTCCGCAAAACATTGCATTGTTACAACAGAATACAATATTACAAAAATACTATATGTATATATACACACACACACACACACAAATAAATTTAAAGGACCACTCTAGGCACCCAGACAACTTCAGCTTAATGAAGTGGTCTGGGTGCCTGGTCCAGCTAGGGTTAACCCATTTATTAAAAAATGAATTTATTAATGGGTTAAGCCTTCCCCCTAATACTCTAGTGGCTGTCTTATTGACAGCCACTAGAGGCGCTTGCGTGCTTCTCACTGTGATTTTCACAGTGAGAGCACGCCAGCATCCTTAGGAAAGCATTATGAATGCTTTCCTATGTGACCGACTGAATGCGCGCGCAGCTCTTGCCGCGCGTGCACATTCAGCCGACGGGGCGGAACGCAGGAGGATCGGAGGAGGAGAGCTCCCCGCCCAGCGCTGGAAAAAGGTACGTTTTTACCCCTTTCCCCTTTCCAGAGCCGGGCGGGAGGGGGACCCTGAGGGTGGGGGCACCCTCAGGGCACTATAGTGCCAGGAAAACGAGTATGTTTTCCTGGCACTATAGTGGTCCTTTAACACATAACAGGTAATAAATATATTTAACCATGACAGGTGCAATCTGTATTGAGGTATATTGCCATAGATCTCTTAAAATATTTTAGATTGAATGAAGATTTGACTGTGTCCCTGAGGTTATTCCATAATTGTGGTGCTCTGTAGGAAAATGAGTATAGAGCCACTTTATTTTTGTATTGCGGTATGCTTAATATCTTGCTGGTACTGGATCGGAGGTTATAGGAGGTGGGAACAGCCGGGGAGAGCATTCTACTCAGGTAGGGTGGGAGCTTCCCAGAAATGCTCTTATGCACAAGGCTGGAAAGATGAAGAGTGCGTCGGGATTCCAGCGACAGCCAGTTTAGCTCTTTCAACATGTCACAGTGGTGGGTAAAGTACTTACATTACATATTTCAGGGTTATATCTTTCATCTTTAACTCCTTGACTGGTCCTGTTGACTCAACATAAAATATTGCTTAAATCCATCCAAATGTCACTTACTATACAGCAAGAATCTCAACGTAAACCAATTCACCCTGACAGCATTGATATCCTCTCATCAGATACGACAGCCAACTGACTTAATGCCAATGTAAACAGAGAGTAGCTGCCTGAGGGTGACGTCTGGGGATTCAGGATTGGACGGCTGAGGGTGCAAGTCCCTGTTTTTTTTTTATCAGAGGAATTAAATTTAACAAATTAAGGGATTTCCAGCCGGGCTGTTGCTGAGTAACCGAACTAGATGCAGAATACACAGCGATTTGCTGGATTTAAACAACTACCGGAATACCGGTTAAATAGCCCTGTTAATACAGCTAAAATAATTACATTTGCTTTTTGTATAAACAAATTGTTTTTTAATAGATAGGGTTCAGTTTGGCAAAGCCAAATTTGGACAACCAAAAGTGTGTCATTGTTTAGTGCATAGACTGATGTATATTATCATTTTATTATTTATATATCGATCAGATTCCTATCACCCCAGGGTGAAAAAAAACTAGTTAAACGTCTTTATACACAGTTTCTGAAAAAGCTTAATTATTGGCAAGAAAATCGATAAATATATAAAACAAAAGGAAGAAAATGAAATGAAAGTAGACATAGCATTCATTCTAAAATAGTTCATATATTCATTGCTGCCAATTGTAAAACGCTTGGGATCAGGTCAGACCCCACCTCTCTGTCTTAAATCAAAAGCTTGAATTCATACAAAAAGGGGGACGAGCTCCTCTCTCCAGGGTGAAGAAATTCTTCAGATTCTCTCCTTCCATATAGGCCTGACCTCGGAGGCTTATTGATATTCTGTGTGGCTCTGGGCCTTCTATAGGAGCTGAGCTGAAACTCTACCCAGAAGGCAGAGCAATCAGTGGAATTGCTCACTCTAAACCCACAGTCCTTAAAACTGATCATTAACCCTTGTGGTTCCACCTCGGTGGTGGGCCCAAGCCATCTTTAGGCCAAAGATAACCAACTTCAACAAGAGCTCGCCGAATATCATCGGAAATGTATTTCTAAAATATCTGCTATACCAAAGTTAGCCACCTACGGTTAGGCACATATAAAAAATTATTTAAGATATTTAAGAAAATAAGAGGCTATTATGTAAGTCTTATACTTTATAAAATCACAAGTTCCGGAGCATTTAAAAACAGGACTGAAAAAAATTAAATTATTATTATTATAATAATAATACATAAAATGAAAAAAATTTAAACCATTTAAAAAAAAAAAAAATCAAGAAGCGGTAAGAATGGTCCCGAGATCCTGCAAATGAACTTCTAACCTTTCTTCCTGCTCACAGTAGCATTTAAACCGGAACAGAAGCAGCAATGCAATACAAAAAAAAAAAAAAAAGGAATTATTCCTCTTTACGATATACCGGTACTTACATGAGCTTTATTACCTGCGGCCTGCTCCGTAACACTGCATGCACAATTGTTTTTCCTCCCAAATACTTCACCGTACGTGAATTTTTTATTTTAAAAATAATCAAAAGCTTCAACATAAATGGTTAATACGGACAAAATTCTTATCTACATATATCTACATTTGCAGTCTGGCTAGTAGAATGCATAGATATAGTGCTATAGTGATATGAAGTAATGAAATCTACACTGCGATGCTACTACCATTGTCCTTTCCAAAGAGGACTGCAGCTTTAAGAGAAACGTTACCCGTACAAGAAACAGTTTTACAAGTAATTCACGAGACACAGTACACAATGCTTGGATTATACAGCCGTGTGAGGTTTTATTGTAGTTAATCGGCTCCGGAAATATATTGCGAGGTGAGATGTAATCGAGACTGAAATGTACGGCTTTTTTATGGTTTTGGGGATTGTATTTTTTAAATAAAATAAGCTACAGAGCTTCCGTTAGCTTGTGCAATAATTTTTATTTTAATGAATCACGCTCCTCAGGGCTGTGCATGTATAACGCTGCCGAAATGACTGACCAAGAATTCCAAGACAGCCATTACATGATACCTATGATGTAGACATGCTGTACAACATCTTGTACAATTAAGGGAAGCATAACTTCCTGATATGATCTCACAGGATGGGTGGTTGTCTTGAACCTCTAGAAAGGTTTGCAAATCATGAAGAAGAACAAGAAGCTCCTAACACCAGTGCCATAGTGCCATGCAAGAACCATAGTTGGACATGATGCTCTTAGCGTTTCTTACACCAAAGCAGGAGGGATTATTTTAAAGTGAAATTTACCAGGAATTCAAAGTGAATTTCAAATTATATGCCAATATAACCAAACTGGAAGCCTAGCGGAACTGGAGAATTTTTCTAATCTGGCTATTTGAATTCTCTGTATTTGTCACTTTAATTAATACGTTTGAAAGGGTATTTAGAAATTCAAAATGGCGGCATAAAGACCATAACTTACGCAACATTTATTTTAAAAGATATTTAACACAAAAATAAATGAATCCAAGCATAATTATTAATAAAATATGCAAAACTACACAACGAGCACCAGTATATTAGGAAGTAAATTTGCACATATATTATATATGTAAATTAGCGTCTCATCTATTATAGCTTGTTTCTTATTAGAGTGAGCTCTGACTGTATATTATGAATAATTAAACTCAGGATGATTTCTGTGTGTTACAGAATTATATTCTTTGAAAAGATTATGGCAATTATAGACGGCAACAAACGGCGACTACGTACCGCATAGATACAGAGTCCGTTAATATATATTACTATATCTCCCCTAATGAAATGAATCATACAAACATTGTTTGAACAATCAGCCCTAATGCGAGGGAAATCAGAAATATGTAGGCCTTGCATTGCGTCTCATTAACACCGTACACAGCTGTAATCTTAAAAGGTCTGGGGACATGAAACACTCTGGGTTACCATGTACAAGCTCTTCACATAATAGAAAACAGAAGATTTTTCAATGGTACACCAAGCAAAAGGTGGTGGGGGGACCCAAGTATCTGTATTTTTTGTATTTTGTTTTTTCCAAATAAAATTTTTGCCCCGCTTCCATTGCTTTTAAGATTTCATGTTTCTATACCACCTGCCAATGCACAAGCAGGGCAGATAAATGTGCACTTTCCCCAGAATTCCAAGCATGATCCAAGAATCTAGGAGCCAAAGGATGGCACATCATTATTTGACAAAGTAGCTTGATATGCACTTTAAATTAACACGTGGTCTAAACGGTCCTAACTACTGAGAAAGCAAGAGTGTAATCCTCGGCTATAAAATGTCCACTCACCACAAAAGGTCACCCTGATGATTCGAAATTCTGTCGTGCCGTGGCGGGTAACTTTTAAGGCCTGGTTAGTACAATAGGAAATGGAAATGTGTGTAACAGGCACAGAGCACACACCTAACACATGTAATCTGTTCCCATCAATGGCAATAGCAGCGTGCTGATTATGTGCTACAGGCTGTACGCACACCGCAGAAAGCGATAATGGACGTGAAGATACAAAACCAAGGGAGTGAAATTAAGCCAGGAGGGGGGCAGCTTTTCTCTTACTTTAATGTATGTCACTACCAGGCACACCGGCAACTTCAGTTTACCTTCAAAGTACATGCAATTAAAACGCATAATCTATTTCCACGCTAGTTTGTTGAAGGTCAGGTTTAGGCCGGAGACACGAGGTTTATCGGTGTGTATCAATTTAACCTTGTTTATAGAAGACACTGAACAAACATGCATACACACACAGCGATACACTGTGTAACCATCACAAAGGGACAGTTACTGAGAGTAAAATACAAACAGAACGAGACTCTCAGGGTGCAAGATCTTAGCTGGGCTACACAGGCCAGAGCTTGGCCTGGGGTGGCATCTTGGCATGGGCGCAAGACTTTTATACCAAAAGCAACTGTTTGGGTCCCTGAAACAAACGGCCCCTACAGGCAGAGCATGGCAACGGTGCTGACCCAGTTATTTCTGCTACTGTTAACCAAGCCCAGAACTACCCTGAAGCACAATGATTTCCAATAGTGGTAAAGCTAACTTTTGGTACTCATGCTGTTGGGGGACTATATTTCCCATGAGGCTTAGCATGCTGGGAAACAATCCACGACAGTTGTACCTACAAAAATAAAAAGTTAAAGTAAACACCTTTAAGCGATTCCCTAGTGTACTGAATGGAAGGTATAACTAGCTGAATGCTTTCCAATTTTTATCTGAGTGACACTGAACAAAGTAATGAGGATATGGCTGGCTAGCCAAACCTGAATCACATACTGACTCCAACCCAAAGAATGCGTGGAATGCGTCTCTCCGCATCAACCAAGAAAAAAAAAAAAAAGTCTCAGGTTCAGTCTTCTGGGGAGAACCAAGGGGGAACAATACGCACGCACACCTTATGTTCTGATAAGATCCAGAACGGTGGCGGCCCTCATTCACTAAACAAGGAATTGTAACAAACAAATACAAATTGCAACAATTCAACTAAAATAGCTAGGATTGTGGAGGAGTTAGAGAATCTTCTCCCGATTTAGCTTATTTTAGTCTAAAATCATCCAATATCCGGAATTTCAGTGGGGGGTTTGTATCCTTGTTTTGGATTCGTCAGCTGAAGCTAAATTAGTTTTTTTTTGTCGTTTTCCAAGGAAAAAAAGCCAATTATAATAAAGTTATACAGTCTTTAAAAATGTAAACTATTTGATGCAAACAGCGGCGTTGTGGTTTACCCAGCGATAACATCACTATACAGCCGTGTAACAATAGCAGAGTGGCAGTGTGACGTCACAGTATCACACCTCTTTAACTGCTCTCACTGCTATACAAACATCAAGATTTTCAATTAAATTTATTTAAAATTTTTTAAATATTTACTAGATGTGTACTTACATAGCGCCAATATATCCCACAGCACTTTACAATTATAAAACAGGGATACTTGATACCAAGTACTTTACATGCGGAATATAACAGACAAGAGGTGAAGAAGGCCCTTCTTAAAAGAGCTTACAATTTATGAGGAAGGGGTAAAGACACACAAGACAAATAACACCATGTCAGAGGGGGAAGGGATTGATGAATAAGGTTCCTGTGTAGAAATAAGCCACTAAAAGTCATGTGTGGAAGAACTGAACAGTGGCAGGAGAGAAAGTCCCTTGGAGGCGAGGGAAGTGAAATGAGAGAAGTGTCACCCACTACAAACTGTTCTATAGAATTTCTATCAGACTGGGAATATACACTGCCTCCACAACTTGTCAAACTTTGGTGAATTATTCAAATCATCACCTACCAAGCTCAAAGGTGTCCATCCCGGTCTAACTAATAACGTTTCCGACACGGGGTGTTACTCAGAATTAGGCCAACGCCAGAGGTATTCTGCTAAAAATGTGTCAAGTAAGACATTTAAAACCTTTAAAAATGAATTTCTTCAAAGTTACCTCCTCCACCCCCCTGAAAAAAAAAAAAAATGTTTTTTTCGGAAAATTAAAAAATATAAATATATTCACACACACAAAAAGCAAATACTGTAAATTACTGTCTTTTAGCGTTACTGAATACTCCAGCTTTTCGCAATTTACGTATCTTACGCCTATAACATTAAGCTGTGGAAACGGACCATAAACTGTAATGGATTCCTCCCAGCTGGAAAAAATAAGCAACATTTCTCCGAAATATGTCACACGACTATTTTATTAAAGGCCGGCGTTATTACATTTCTTTTGTAAATAAAGTATCCAACAGGCCCACAAGCTGAGCTGCATCATTAGGACAGCACTAAGAACCGCTACAAATCAATACACGTCACAGAATTCTTGAGCCAGCGTCCTGCGATATGCTTTCTAAGAAGTCAGCACTTTCCAGGAGGAAGTCGAGCTTCCTTAGGCGTTTGAAATTCTAAGGATTGCATGGAGGTTTAAAATTGGATCCAGCATATTCCCACTTTAAAAAAAAAGGCCATTACTTTGCATTATAAATGCTCCTTTTTAAAGGGACCAGTGCAAGAACGATCTTCGTAAATCTCAGAACAGGAAAAACAAAACCTTGGTAAAAATGTATATGTTTTATGATTATTTTAAATACTGAAATTCCTTGCCACCATCATGGCCTGTTAGACTGGGATGTTTTAGGTTTCCATTTTTACTTTCATGCTCTCCGATATCAAAGCAATACAAGCATTACCCTACACATCACTTGCTAAATTTATTCAAGGGCGAAGACACAGTGCCATATGGTAAGGGAGTAAAAAGATAAATAAATAAAATTTAACACAAAAAAAAAAAAAAAAACACTTTGTAGGCAACAATTATCTTATACTGTCAGAATTTGTTAATTATATTGGAACCAAATTTACATTGTATGGAGTTTTGTTCTTTTTAGTCCTTGCTGTTTACCGCTATGGCACTGGCCTTAAGAGATGACAAACATTACAAGTAAAAGGGGTCATACACACGGTCACCATGACAACAGGTTAACACAAACATGTGAAATGTTGCATATGTGACAGAAGATCCCTTGACACTCCACCACGCTAGGAAATATTAATAGTAGACGACGTTGGCACCATTATGTGCATTAGTCACCTATACGAGGGGTGTGAAACCAGCAGAGACCGCATTATCTGTTACATAGGGGGTCCCCATGTTATTTATTGGGTTCAGGTCACCAGATAGGGTTAGGAACAGGGGAGGTGGATAACCAATAATCCATGGGACGGCCACATGCATTTTATTAGCCCCTTTCACAGAGTACACTAGATGGGCATTCATGGGACCATTCTTCAATGTCCAACAAAAATTGGAGTTGGGGTTCTGGAATCCACCGCTTGCAGAGGCTGCCATAAATTATATTGCAACAAATTTGGAAATTTCTCTGAATTTCAAGCTAGCCACAAAATGGGTTTGCATCAGTCCGAGAATTGTACATTTGGTGAATATGAAATTTACATTTTCACGTATTCACACAAAGAAGGAAAATATATAAATTTTTATAATAGAGCCTTGGTGTACTGAGATCTTTCTTACATATCCAGTTAAGAACACAATGGGGGGGGGAGGGGGTTTGTTTTTTCTCTGGGGTCATGAGACCAATTGAGTAAACATTCTTAAAATTCTCACTTAAACCAGTGGTTCTCAAACTGTGGTCTACAGACCACAAGTGTCCCTGTACCAGGATCCTTGGGATGACACAATTAAGTATGTGTATTTAATGTACACGGAATAGAAAGTTTAGATTCGTAACAGAGATTAAACTTTTCCAGTTAATCCTCAAATGAGAGCTTCCACATCCCACATGTTGAACATGATAAACTAGACTTCTATAAATGGAACCTTGACACCCACTCTGACACACAGGCAGTATATTTATAAAAGAACATCTCGAAAAAGGTGTTTAACCACAAACAAAAAGAACAGTCTCAGCGAACTACTTGAAAATTCAGACAGAAAAATACATTATAAAGTTTTATCTGTTTTGTATACTGAGTATAACTTTATAACTGGCAGTATGGGCGGAGGGGCTGAGTTTCCCTTTAACCCGTGAGTATCCTTGACGCTGCGGGTGTTTGTGAACTCCTGTAAATGTAATGCGCACACACACACACGCACACACACACACACACACGGAAAGTCATCACTTAATGGATATTTCAGTACATTTACAGTAACTTTCAGGTTGTGCAGAGGCAAATTTAAATGGGATACAGTAGGCTGTTTCATCTCATTGAAGTGGTTATAGTATCTTGAGTCTCCCGGCACTGTCCTTCCATTCAATGTTAAAGGGACACCATAGTCACCCAGACCACTTTAGTTCAATTAAGTGGTCTGGGTGCCAGGTCCCTCAGGTTTTAACCCTTCACATTTCAAAGAAACTGCTATGTTTACATTTGGGGTTAAGCCAGCCTCTAGTGGCTGTCTTCCGGATATTATTATATATGTCTTCCATATTATGCCTCCATCGCTCAGATCGTCCATAGGAAAGCATTGAGAAATACTTCCCTATGTACACTTTGAATGCGTGTGCGGCACTTGCCGCGCATGTGCATTCGGCTCTGCTGACATCGCCAGAGGGAGGAGAGGTCACCAGTGCCGAGGGAGCTTGGCGGTGGAATAAGGTAAGCTGCTGAAGGGATTTTAACCCCTTCAGCGCCACGGGAGGGGGCACCCTCAGGGCACTATAGTGTCAGGAAAACCGCTTTGTTTTCCTGACACTATAGTGATCCTTTAAGCCATTAAGACTTCATATAGCCACGCCCCCACTGGAGGAGTGGCTAAGGCACATATTACACACTTCCTTTTAGCCATACTTACTCATGCCAGCTATGGGCACTGTGATAGGCTGAAAGTGGTCAGTTGACACTCTTAGTCAATCACAGTCACTCATTTTGATTATACACATGGAAAAAGGTTCTATGTTGCCCAAATGTTTGGAAGCTCTAGCCATTGCTGTGTTGCTGCAGAGCAGGAAGTATAGCAATAATAATTCTATGCGAAGTCATAGATTGCTGTCTGTTACAGGAATAGAGAAAAAAAAATTATATAAAATTTCCCTTTAAAGCTAAATGTTAGACATGAAATAACAATGAAGTCCACACCCCTTCTACCAGATGAGTCTGAATGAACATTAGTCAAATTGTAAAGTCACCAGTAAGGAGAATGTGGCCATCACCACCACAGTCTGGGGAGAGAATGTCTAAGATAGAAAAGGAAAGGAAGCGAGAACGGTCCACATCAAGGAGATGATTACAGAGCGAGGAAAGGAAAGATAGAGCAGATAAAGATATAGTGAAGAAAGCCAAAGCCAGGGTTAGGTAGCCTCAGATAGAGCAAAGAAAGCCAAGGCCAGGGTTAGGTAGCCTAAGACAGAGCGAAGAAAGCCAAGGCCAGGGTGAGGCAGCCTAAGATAGAGCGAAAAAAGCCAAGGTCAGGGTAAGGAAACCCAAGATATTACTACTACTACTGGTATTTATATAGAGCCAGCAAATTCCATAGCACTTTACAAAATTATCAAAGGGGGAGATTTAACAATAAATTAGTCAATTACATTAACTTACATGAACAATAGGTTGAAGAGGACCCTGCTCAAACAAGCTGACAGTCTATAGGAGGTGGGGTATAAACATATTAGGACAGGAGCTGGAGGAGAGAGTAGAGTGCTGCCCTTTAGGAGAGAGCAAGAGACAGGTATGTGAGGTAGAGGTTACTGTGGGAGGCCATAAGCTTTCCTAAAGAGATGGGTTTTGAGGCACTTTTTAAATGATTGAAGACTAGGGGAGAGACTGATGGCGGTGGGCAGGCTATTCCATAGGACAGGAGCCGCCCACGAAAAGTCCTGCAAGCGCGAGTTGGCCGTACGGGTGTGAGCAGGGGACAGGAGAAGGTCATGGGCAGAGTGGAGAGATCGAGAAGGGGCATACCTATGGATCTGTGAAGAAATATAGGAGGGGCTAGAATTGGTCAGTGCTTTATAGGTGTGGATTAGTACCCTGAATCCTATAGTATACATATAGAGCAAAGAAAACCAGGGTAAGGAGGCCTAAGATAGAGCAAAGAAAGCCAAGGCCGGAGTGAGGAAGCCTAAGATAGAGCAAAGAAAGTCCAAGGCCAGGGTGAGGAAGCCTAAGAAAAGAGCGATGAAAGCCAAGGCCAGAGTCCGGTAGCCTAAGATAGAGCGAAGAGAGCCAAGGCCAGGATGATGAAGCCTCAGATTGAGCGAAGAAAGTCCAAGGCCATAGTAAGGAAGCCTATTAAAAAAAAAAAAGAGCAAAGAAAGCCAAGGCCAGGGTGAGTAAGCCTAAGATAGGGCGAAGAAAGCCAAGGCCAGGGTGAGTAAGCCTAAGCTAGAGCGAAGAAAGCCAAGGCCAGGGTGAGTAAGCATAAGATAGAGCGAAGAAAGCCAAGGCGAGGAAGCCTAAGATAGAGCGAGGTGGAGAGAGAGCCCGAGACAAAGCGAGGTGGGCTCAAGCCGAAGAAAAGAAAGAAGGGCTAATCCATGGAGAGGAGATGAGAGAGTTTTTATAAAAGCCCTGATTTATGGTTCTTGTAGACAGAAATAAAGTGCCTCACTCTACAATACGAATAATAAAACATGTTTATAATAAACATGTCCTAATTAATAGATTTTAATAAAATAAAAAAAAGCCTGGTAGAAGCACTCTGTGTTCATCCCTTTATTTCAAGATTAGTAAATTTGCAACATAAAAGTGAGTGATCTTTCTAAATACCAATAGACTTTATTAATACTTGGTACAGATATATTATCTGAGAGCGGTAGATCATTCTGACAACAGAAAGGAATAGGAGAGAAAAAGAAAGAGATAACATAAAAAAAAATTGTTAGAAGAAATATAGCAAGGCAGAAGGAATGATAGAGAGAAAGAAAGTACAGGGAAAAGAAAAAAAAAAGTAAAAGGGAAAGAGAGAATGGAAGCCGGAGACGGAGAAAACAAATGTTAAAGTCACAGAAAGATTTTTATGCGAAGAAGTAAAGCGAGAGAATGTAAGAGAGACAGAAGGAATGGAATAGACAGACAGATTACAGGAAAACCTCGAATTGTAGTAAACCACGATGTTTGGCTAAATACTGCAATTTGGCTTCCAATTCTGTATTTTTTGTGAATTAAGCACACAGAAGGAGACAGACAGAAAAAAGGATGGGACAGAGAGAAATCTATAGATCGGTATATAGGGAGACTGGAATATAGGGACATGAAAGGGAGCGCTTCACAGAAAATTTACAATCCAAGTATTATTTTCAATAAAACTGCATTAAACATTCAATTATCTGACGAACAAACTAAACAGAACCTGCACTTGGCATTATCTGAGCGGATAAGGACTATAACTTTTTTGTTTATTTTTTTAAAGCTGGTGACAAGAGGAGGGTCGAGTTATGCCGCATGCCATATTGCCGGTGCAGACACACTCTACTAGGCCATTCCCAAATATATCCTTCCATAGCGCCATTATCAACATTCACTCCTTAAACCCACCTCACCAGAAACAGATCATCTCAGCCAGAAACCCCAAATTGCATCAGAAGTCTCAAACAGACAGCACGTCAGACCCACACCATATCCTATGCCACCAGACTGTGCCACAATCACAATATGCTAATAAGGAAACCCGAGGAGAATGCCTAGCCCCAAGTGTTAGCCAAGGCCTGGGTGCCATGATAACACCTGGCCAAGCTCCATTCACCATCCCTGTAATAAGAGTAAATGGGGCCCAGACTGTTAAGCCACCTAGGGGTCTATGAAAACGTAATCCTCTGGACACACGCACCCTGCACCTTTCTAACTGTCACACAAATATACACAGCTCGAGTCATGTGATACAGACATACACCATTCACACTGTCACAAACTACATGCATACACAAACCCGCACTCATTGTCATCCATAAACACATATACAACCTCCAGCTCACTCGATTTTACCATGTGTACACACATCCCAAGACACCTGGCCACATGGAAAACCTATACGCATTAATAAGCAACTCACAAGTTTCAAATTTTATTTAAAAAGAAAAGAAAAAAAAAAAAAAAGATTTATATAAATCTTCCATTCTGATTTAGTTTCATCGTGGCTATGTAAGCATTAAGCGCTGCAGAATTTGATGGCGCTATATAAATATCATAATAATTAATTTTGCCATTCACAGCTTGCTGTTTAGTGAATTAACCATACAGTATTACACACATTCAGTTGTCAGCCAACACGTCTGCAAAAAACTTTTCCTTCTCCGTGTGTCCAGTGTCCACCTGTGTAATCTCACCAGTACAGGACCCGTCCCGCACTTACTGCGAGACCTCTGACAACACAGCGCTTCACTTGTTCAATAGATTCGTCTGCACCCTATTACTCCAGTTTGAGCACAATGTGTCACTCACTGGATGTTAACTCACACCTGTGCCCCTCCCTCCTTACCTGGCAAACCTCAGCAGGTATGGCTTTCATAGTACCAGGCGCCAGGTCACGTTGCACACTACCAACTTGTCACAGACCCAGGGATCCATTCGCTAAACAGCAAATCAGAGTAAACTCTAAACAGAATTCTCACTATAGCTGATTTAAAACATTTCTCCAAACCAGCTCTAGTCAGAATTTTACAATTCGATGTTTAATGAATAAACCTCACAATGTGTAAATTATTCAACATGGCAGTTCGCCCACCCGGTCACTCACACATCTCAACGCACTAGAAACCAAATGGGTAGGTTCCCAGCTGCTGTAGGACTACAACTCACATGACATTTGGCCAAGCATCATGGAAATTACAGTTCATCAACAGCTGCGGTTCTAGGGCCTGGACACAGTTGCAGTTGAAATATAACTATTACCCCCCTCCCCTCCCCATTAAACACATGCACACCCTGCTTTATCAGAACTCACAGGACCTGTAACACACCAAGAGCTTGTCTCAGCTTCATTGTCTCACACATCCCACCTGTCACAATGCCAAATCCCCACCCTGGGAACACAATACTAAGACCCCTCACACATGTTCTGCCCTGAGACACCCCTATACAGCAAACCCAGGGAGGAGCCACAGGAACCCAGAGGGGAGGCAAGGAGTGTATACATAATAATATATTTCTGGATGGATTGCTCCTCCCTGCCTTTACTATATAGGGGGTCTCCCCCCACCCCCCACCCCCCCACCCTTCCTCCCACAGCTGCTGGAGAACTCCAACTCCTATGATGCTCTGTCAACCTGGGAAAATAACATGGGAGTTGCAGTCCTCCAATATTTGTGGATTACACTATTCCCTGAAGGGGGTAACCCATAGAGGAAGCAGTGGCATTAACCCCTTCATTGACAGGTAGGTGAGCACAGCAATACATGAAAGGGTTAAGGTTACCCCATTATTGGAGCCTCTTGGTGAAACAATAACCACCTGCCTCCCCCCTCCTACTCACCAATCACCTCCTGCAGCTCATAGTCATCCCTGTTGATGGTCCATGGCATGGAGCTGAGGTCCTGCTGCTCTGTCATGGCTGTGCAGCCTCTGCAGTGGGGTAGGTGGGGGCTGCTCCACGTGGAGGTGCCTTGCTCAGCCAGATGTGGGTGGGATGCAGGGCAGGGAGGTCCCCACAGGTCGGGTTAGACTTCCTGCACGGTGATCCGGGCCTGTCCCCCTCCCCAGTGTCTCACTCTCACTTGTTCTCCTGCACTTTACATTGCCAAACTTTGCCTTTCCCCCTAACCGGCCTGCCTTGCCCAGGGCCGCGTGACGTCACAGCGCGCCGCCGTCCGAGCCCCGCCGCCATCTTGCGTGTGGCAGACGCTGGGCGGCACCTGTTTAACTCGCTGCTGCTGCTACATTGTATCAGTGATCCGAAACATTCTAAATAGAACGGAGAGCGTGAATAGTCTGCCAGCGGCATTACCCCCTAATCACTCACTCACTCACTCACTCAGACAGACAGACATTGCCGGCTTGGAATAAATTGCTCAGAATTTACAAAACAATAGATTCATCATTTTGTTAATAAATAGCAATAAATCAGCAGGGGGACCCTAAAATATGTACTTAGCATGGAATGCACCCCCAACTTAATGGCACCATAACCACTGCACCAGCATGTGCTGATACTGATCCTTTATGTAAAATATTCCAAATGCTGAATTCAGGAATTTGCCGATTTTATTTTTAGTTCACTACAAATCCCTGCTAGCTGTGTACATCCCATATAGATAATAACAATAAATCAATCCAAAAATAATTCTCTTTACATATCATGACATGTCCTTGGTCCTGGATGAGCTGAAATCGTTATATCCGTCTCGTTCCAGTATGCATTACCACCATACATTTCTTTGAAAGAAAAGAACACTCGGATTTGGTATTTTGTTCTTTTTAAATTTATTATTCACTATTTTATTTTTGTTATTCACTACAGTGAGAATCGCAGGGAATTCAAAGGTAATTACGAATTGAAGGTAAAAATGTGTGAACTGAAAGCTTAGCTGATTTAGAAATATTTCCCGTTCAGCCATTTTGACTTTAAATGTGAGATATATTTCAAATTCCCTGTAATTCTCCTTTTTAGTGAATAACCTTATAATTATACGCCAAAATGGCTGATGTAAAACCAGATGTTTTGAGATGCTCTGAGATGCCACCAGTTGGAAACACGTAAGGCGTCTGTTGTGTTGAACTCCCAACATTAACCATAACACATGTTATATGAAGATGGGAAAAAAGTATTAAATGTTTTATGCAAAGATTGTAGAGTAATTCACTGGTCGAGGGATCTGGTGGGTTTTCATTTCGATGAATTCCCACAAATTACAACCATTATTTGAGTGACAAAAATTGGCATTTGGTAAATAATCATTGGGCACAATTGGAAAACAACTATAAAACTCTATTGTATTAAATGTAACTCTTAGCTTGTTTGTCAACACAGAACTGAAATAAAATACTATATGGATATACACCCTTAGGATGTTCTACTTGAACAAAAATATAGATTTGAACATTTAGCTGCCGAGATCAAATCACTCTAAAAATGAGCTGGAATTAAAATAGACAATATGTCTCTACTGACTAGATTTTGAATATCATTAATATGTAAGAAGATGCCTGTGCCTGTTACTGCAGAATCTCTGTAAATGTATTACATGTGTTCACATCATTTTATTTTTAAGACAACTATCAACTATGCGAACAACATAAAAACAATAAAAAAAGCAAAAAACATTAAAAGAAATTAACGTTTAAAGGCACGCTATGAGAAGGTCTGTGGGATTCCATCACAATAAATGCAACTGACAAATAAAGACGTGTACAAAAGGCTTTATATATAGAGAGTCTCAATAAAGCATTCTATCCTTCAACACTGTATTCATAATCTTTATAGAAAGAAAACTGTAGGACCACATTATAACCAATCAAGGAAAAACAAGAGTGGAGAGCTGACCGTTGGGCAGCGAGTACAGTTATCACATTTTAGAAACGTATATTGCGTTCTTTTTTTAATTGTGTTTTCTTTTACAGTCGATGCTGCGATGATGCTGGTATCCCTTGTGACAACCCACTCACCTAAAGACCATAAAATCTCAGGGATTGCAGCAATGTAAATGTTATGTTGATGTGAGTTTTGGTAAGAGTGATAATGATGGGTGATTGGAGCCACTGTGAAAGCAGGGTCCTGTGCAGGCTACCACCAAGAAGGAGCAGATAAGGAGAAAAGAACATATGAATAAGAAGACGGATAAAGCTGGGGTTTAGGGGAGTAATTTAAAAATCTCTACCTTCTGTGTAAAGCTTGACCTTTAGTGAAATCTCCTGACCTTCAATGACCATGAATCTCAATGTATCCTTCCATTTTATGGCGATACCATGGGGCATGAAGAACAACTCCTTATCTTGTTTCATCATAGTCTAAAATGGACAATGGCATTTCATCTCATTGAACTGGTAAAAGTGCCTGGAGTTGCAAGGTAACGTCACTTCATTCAGCGCCAAAGCATTTTTGAGCAGTTTAACACTAGATAAGGGTTCTTGGCCACTCACAGCCTGGGGACTCTCATTTTGCATTAGCACATTACAAGCAGACACTTTAAGCACTTCAATGAGATGAAACAGTTATAGTGCCTACAGGTTCCATTTAACTCAATTATTGAAGGCTAACATGAATCTATCTTAGAAATCCCATTCATTGCAAACTTTGCTGGGCTGAGCATATCAACAGGTAAAGTAAGTTTGTGCCTAGAAATTAAGAAATTATTCATGTGTTTATCCTTGGTAATATTACAGAATGAAAGATGTGTCTTCCACCAAAATTCTGGAAGGCATCTGACAAAGATATCCAGAGCTGGATTACCCATAAGGTGGCATAGGTGGGCCCTGTCTCGGCTTGAAACTCCGGCTCTGGCTGTGAGCCTTCAGGATCAATAGATGGTTTTGGTCGGCCCTGTGTCCCGTCACCTGCCTGAGAGATCACAAACCGAGGTACCTCGCACTGAACATGGACTGAGCACAGGAGACTTAAAGGAGCTGTTAAAGTGATCTGCACCCAATATCAGCACAGACCACAAAGGTCCCCCACCAGACTACCAGAAATCCAGCTCACCCACCAGTGAACCACCAGAGATAGGTACACTGAGAAACTGCACACTCAAACTACCCTACATACACAGCACTTAGATTCCTCCACACACAAAATTCAGCCTCCACACACAAAGTTACACTCAGCTTCCCCACACACAATGCTCCTTAGACTTCTCCTCCATACAGCACTTAGACTCCTCACACATAATGCTCAGTCACTACACACACTCTCACACAAACATACAGCAATCAGCCACCACCCACTTACACAGCACTCAGCAAAACAGAGCTCTAGGGTAAGAACACATTTAGGCATCCTGCCTATGGCTCTAGGCGACCTAAAACCTGCTCTGGAAATATTTCAAATGTAGCCCAAACTAATCTTGTCACTCTCAGTGAATCAGCCAACCCGGCACAGCTTCCAGCTCCAAAGGAAAATGCACACCTCATTTGGTATTGGTTTGTATACTTTCCCTAGGAAGGTGTAGTGGTTATGGTCATTGTAGTGTTTCTTTAAGGGCAATATGAAACAAAGCATTGTATTTCTCTCCGATTTGTTATAAAATGGTTTATACATCCGTGGAGGTTTTTAATTTTTTTTATTTTAAAAAGCATCTGCTGAGCATTTGGATTCAGTGTCAGATTGGGCTTTTTAATTTGTATTTGTTTGAATCTGTGCCCAAGAAATGTTGGTGATAGATAATTAATTTATTTTGTTTTAGTCCTCTTCTGGAAGCTAAAATAAAATCATATGAGCAATGACGAGAAGTCTCTGGCATAAATATTCATGGAATAATTTATCAAAACAACATCAACAAGCAGCGTTCTAAATAAAGCTTTGTAGGAGATATAGAAAGATGGCTTGGACGAGGTGTTCGACATTCTGCCTGGGGTGCTTAGTAGGCTGGATAAAAGCTTATTTGATTGAAAATAACTAGTATTTAAAGGCACACCCTAAGCACCATAACTACTATGGTACCAGGAGTATGCTGGTGCTTTCTCACTCTAAGTAGTCAAACAACTTTACAATGATTTGACCTTTAACTTGGGGTCTCACAGGTGGAACTCCCCTCCTCACATCCTTTCAGCAGCCATAAGCTCCTGTTTCCGGGTCCCATTATCTCTCCTAAACTAAATCCTCAAGTGCAGGGCTAGTGCTGTGCCTTAGAGCATGAGCTGATCTCACACAAACCAGTAAACTAATCCCTGGCCCCTCCGGGCTTAATACACAACTTTTAGCTCTCCTGTAGGCGCTAGTGGAGGCTGGGACTAGTGCCCAGTACCCCCAGGTAAAAAGTCATACTATTCTAAATTGGTTTGACTAGTGACTTTGGAGGGGTGCCATGGTATTCCTGGCACAACATTTTGTAGTGGTTATGGTGATTTGAATGTTCCTTTAAATCATCACTCCAACCATTATAACCACTAAAGCCCACTGTAGTGGTTATGATGTGAGGATTACCCTGGCAGCATTTCTTGGTAATTGAGCAAATCGTTTACAATGGTTTGTCCTCTTACATGGTCTTACTGGCTCTGAGGGTCTCAGGATGGCAGATGAACTGCATCCAGCTTACGCAGAGTTATATTAGTTGGATGCTGATCCCACCACTCATTAATCAGCTGTCCGCTCTCAGCCAATTAATTACATTCTGTGCATAGAAATATGCACACAATTGACATTAACCAGTTATGGAACTTTTGTTCTGGCTAATGATACTCCATTGATGCTGCAGGAGGTGGAGCTGGCAGCAAAGCTGTTGAGCTCAGAAGGTGCAGCGTTTCACTGTGAAACACTGAACATACAAACTCAAGGCACCATGACCACTTCAAAGCACTGAAAGGGCCATGGTGCTTGCAGTAACCCTATACAGCAGTGCACAAAATGAATTGCTTTTATCTTTTAACCGAACTGGGTTTCACACCTCCACACCAGCGGAAACACCGAGAGGGAGCATTGATTGGGATTACCACCAGCCAGTGTGCCTGCACATTAACCTACATACATACACACATGCAAACAAGGCATGTCATACACATTATCCCTGTTACTTACTATTACTACACTGGCATTTGGGTCAGAACCCTGTGTGCACCAGTCCTTGAAGTGGACAGTTTATCAAGCTGATATATAATGAATTAAACCAGAGGCGAAGAAGGATTTCATTCCAGCTAAGGGATTCAGCAATGCTGGATCCAATTTACACCTCTCAGTCTGCCAAGGGCTCAGCGATAAGACATCTCAGAACCTCATTTGTTGCAATAATTTGTCTAAACATTGTCTGCTCCTGGGCTAAAGTGGGGAATTCACAAAATTTCCTGTCCGTAAAGAGATACCCAGATCAATGACGAACAACACCTGGAAAGGGCTATTTATTTACTGATTGCTTATTGACATTACATGGACTTATATCAGCAAACAACTCTTTTCTTTCCCATTGTTGATATTTTGAATTTGGAGGATTCAGAAGAATCGACCTTTTTTAATCGTTAACCATTGTAAATGCTGATTGCCTTAATCTTTGCTCATTCTGATTACAGCCTTTAAACCTGGAAAGTAAAAAATAAACAAGTCTAGAAAAATATTATCACATCTCCCCAGCAGACTCTTCGCTTATCAGCAAGTTTGTTTCAGGATTGGTAGTGCCAAATATCTGCATTATTTTACAAATCACACCTTAACCTCTTCACATGGGAAAAATAGCATAACAATTATCTGAGACACGGAGTGTATGTCCGGGCGATTACTGATGGGTAAAACAGCAATTTCATGTACAGATTGATGTTCGCAGATTCCTAAAAAATAGAACTTTTGCATTAATTTGTCAATTCTACATAGACATTTGAGGAGGTAAAACTATATGGTAGGGAATTTCAATCACGGTAACAGCTTGTCCTGTTGTTGGAACCTGTGAATTTTCAATTGACTTATTAGGGGCATAACCCACCCAGTATAGTGCTCTGCTCCACGGAGTCTGATTGGCTGGTTCGTCTTTCCATTGGCTCGCAATAACCGGTGGATGCTTGTGCTCTTCTTTTGCGTGTAACCAAAAGGGCAAATTCCCTGGCAGCCACTAATCTGGGGATTGTACAGCATCTCTTATCTTGCAATATTTCAAACTGGAATAAACCGCTCTACATAAACCCAGTGGAGAGCTAATATTGTGAATATACACTTACCCCTTTTTTAAAAAAGGGAAAAAATGGAATGTTGAAGTATAACTGAAACAAGATAAAGTGACAAAACATAGTGCAATATGCTTGAGATAATTGGAGTGGTTTAAGGTGTATATAAAACACACTCACATGGAACAGAGCCTATAGGGATAGGCTCAAATCTCATCGGCAGCATAGGCGTGCACAGCCCATTGCATAAGGGTGTGCACCCTAAAGCACAAACACACACGCCGCATATATATATATATATATCTTTTTATATATATATATATATATATATGTAGTTATATATATATACATATATATATATATATATACATATACATACACACACACTACTGTGTGTGTGTTTGTAGGTGCTGTGTGTGGGAGCTGTGTGTGTGTAGGCGCTGTGTGTGTAAGGGTGCTGTGTGTGTAAGGGTGCTGTGTGTTTGTTTGTGAGGGTGGTGTGTGTGTAACGGTGCTGTATGTGTGAGGGTGCTGTTAGTGTGTGTGTGTCTGTGTGAGGGTGCTGTGTGTGTAAGCGTGCTGTGTGTGAGGGTGCTGTTAGTGTGTGCTGTGTGTGTGTATGTGTAAGGGTGCTGTGTGTGTAAGGGTGATGTATGTGTGTGGGTGCTGTGTGTGGGTGCTGTTTGTGTATATTGTGTGGGGTAGGGGGACTGTTTAGTTAATATCCCCCCTCCCTTCTTACCTTATGTGTGTGAGGGTGCTGTATGTGTGAGGGTGCTGTTAGTGTGAAGGTGCTCTTAGTGTGTGTGTAAGAGTGCCGTGTGTAAGGGTGCTGTTAGTGTGAGGGTGCCGTGTATGTAAGGGTGATGTATGTGTGTGTGTGGGTGCTGTTTGTGTATATTGTGTGGGGTAGGGGGACTGTTTAGTTAATATCCCCCCTCCCTTCTTACCGTATGTAGGGAGGGGGAACCATGCTGCTGCCATCCCTAGTGGCCCAGTCGAGAGTGAACTCTAGCCTGCGGGGCTAGTGTTCACTCTCGCGAGATCTAAGCATTTCCACAGCAACGCTCCGACCTCACGAGAGGAACACAGCAGAGCTGCTGGCAAAAAGCTCCCCGGGTCCTCTCCAGCCTCCCTCCCTGCCTGTGGGTCGGTGAGGGAGATCTTTGATCTCCCTCCCCGGCCCACGGAGGGAGGCACATAGCGCGTGCCGCTGGGATTAGGGTGTGCCCAGGCACACCTGGCACACCCCGTGCGCACGCCTATGATCGGCAGGGGTATGTTAAGGCAATACCAGGAGATAAGAAGTGAAGCAAACGCTTCCTGTGTATTATCCTTAATACAATCATAAGTGGATAAAGAGTACAAGTGGCTGTTCACCTTTTTAAGAGCCGATTGTACCAGGCTCTTAGTCTAATAGTGTATGTGTCTTTAAGAGGGCAGGAACTCCAAACAAAAAAGCAATCATCACATTCTCAAACACACACAACGTGTACTGCATAGACCACATCAATCCTTGTTAACGTAAAATGTGAAACTTATCCATATCGCTTCACTACAATGATGTTCACAGCTATTGAGTAACCTGTCTAACGACATGCTTTTACTTTTATGTGCACTCACTCCCTGTATTTTATACTGCATATCACTAGCTGATTACCTTGTCTGATGTCACAACCAACGGTTATGCATGACTTGATAAATAACACATTTACAAGAGGGAAGGAACTCACTGGACTTAATAAAATGGCTAATATACTTTAGTGTACAAAGAAGTAAAAAACAAAGAATTCAAATAATAAAAATTAGCCAGATACCAATAAAATAGTGTCCACAAATCTTCCTGGTGGTCCGAGACACGTTTCGCCTTCTCACAAGGCTTTATCAACCAGGATTCCTGATCTCTAACAAATCTTATGTTTACATCTGTTGGATGCCCTGTATTGTAGTCAGGTGTTCTGATGAAAATTTAGCTGCAATGTATAAAGATTTACATAGGCTGAAAAGAGACATCCGTCCATCTGGTTCAGCCTTTCTCACAACTGTTTTTACTGTTGATCCAAAATAAGGCAAAATAAACCCTGTTTTAAGCACTTTCCAATTTTGCAACAAACTAGGAAAAATTCCTTCTTGACCCCAAAATGTCAGTCAGATCCCTACCTGGATCAAGAAGCTATTACCCCACAAATTCAAAACGATATCCCTGAATATTATGTTTCTGCAAGTATTCATCCAGTTGTTGTTTAAA